TTTTCTTCCTGCATAAGTTACACTAGTAAAATAAGTATTTACTTTTTCAGGAGTGAGAAAGGAACTTGTTATGCTCTAGATCTTGGAGGTACTAATTTTAGGGTCTTACGGGTTGAACTTGGAGGTCAAAGATCCTCCATCTTGGATCAAGATGTGGTGCGACAACCCATTCCTCAGCAGTTGATGACTGGCAGTAGTGAGGTAACTAAGTTTCTGACTCATAAGTTTCTACCAATTCTTAGCAAACTCACGAAATTTATTCTTTACTGATATTCACTGAGGCTAACAAGTTTCACTTGATGCAGGATCTTTTTGATTTTATAGCTTCATCACTACAGCAGTTTGATGAAAACGCAATTGATTTCGAGAAATCTTCAATTAGGAAAGAACTTGGATTTACATTCTCTTTTCCTGTGAAACAAACATCTGTTTCATCAGGGATTTTAATCAAATGGACAAAAGGATTTGCAATCAAAGACATGGTTAGTGTTTTATTTTTGAATTTGTTTTGTTTGAATTGCTAGGATAATAGGAAACTTTCTGCTGCTTATTAATGCCTGGGTATTTATGAAACAATAATGTGAGCCCAAAGGCTTGGTGCATAACATTGTGCTATATGATAGCTTAGATCTTCTCAGCTAGAAGTTGGTTTTGTTATCATAGAATCTCTTAATTGTTGGAAGTTAGGTTTTAAGTAGGTGCTTTTTGGCAAGCATGATTTTTTTTGTTAAATATGTGGCATGAATGATTGTAGGTCGGAGAAGAGGTAGCTGGAGCTTTACAACATGCACTGGATAGGAAAGGTTTAAATATGCGAGTTGCTGTGCTGGTGAGATCTTAATCTAGAGTATAGGTTTACTTTTGTATATTTTCTCAATTTAAGGAATTATTGACAAATAAAGTAAGGTGCAATGTTTGGTGACATCTCTAAATGTTCTTGTTGTATGTATGCTTTTATTTATTGTGTAAGGCATTGCTTGGATGGAAGTTTTGCATCTTGTGGTCATTGTGCAGGGTTTTTCTGTTAATGGTTTATGTAGTTTGCTGTTGTCAGTGGAAGATTGAATTGAGTTGTGTATGTTTAGTAGTTTTAATGAGATGGGTTGTAGGCATGACTTACAGCCTTGTCGAGGAAGACATTGTGGATTTTGTTGTTAATGGTCCACGTTGAATTTGAATATCGGGCTTCGTAGATACTTTTAATGCTTTTATGTCGAACTAAACGAGTTTAATGATATAATGGATTGCGACAATGTGAGATTCTGAGATTCAATTAGGTGGTCTAATGACATGTAATTGCAGAAACCCACTAGAATTTCAGCTGTTTTCTCTACAACTTTAGGGAAAATAAAAATAATTGTAGCTGTGTTTCTATTGTGCACTGTCTTTCTCAAAGTAAATTTTTTGTTGCTTCCAGCCACATAAAAATATATTAATAATTTTTAACCCCAAGTATTGCACCTTTTGTTATTTCTAAATAGTTCTTTAAATTACTTGCAGTTAGATAAAAGTATATTGATAAAATTGCAATAATTTTGCTAGTTCATTAAAAGCTAAGTAGCCTTTTTGGTAGTTGGTTGTTCACTAATAGCAATTAGATTGAGTTCATGTCCATAACAAAATTATGGTAGGCTTTTTGATGTTAAAATCATCATGCTAGGAAGTTTGGTATAAATTTGAAGAATTTGCTCAAGGGTTTGTCTGGTTTTGATGGTTGTGCTAATAAATAGAACGATAATTAGTCTAGAGGTAAACATTTGAAAACTATTTTAGTGCCTTAATTTCACATGCTATGAACACATGTCCCAGTAATTGCTCTAAAGGGAATCTATTCTCAAAATGAGTCATGGTGTAAGATTCTTTATTATTCCTTTCACTGGATTTAATCAAAGGCATCAGACTTTTTATATCTGATTCATCACATGTGTTTTAGTTGATAATTTCTCAATGGATATTATTTATAACATTATTGATTTGATGACTCATTAGGAAAGTTATTAACTGACGTGTCATCCTAATAACCCACATTGCAAGTATACAAATGGAGATATCTTCATACTTAATTGTAGTCACATGTTTGGATAAATTTCATTAATTTTGTAAGCAGGTGAATGATACTGTTGGAACATTAGCTCTTGGACATTATCATGATGCAGACACTGTTGCTGCAGTGATAATTGGAACAGGTACAAATGCCTGCTATTGGGAGCGGACCGATGCTATCATTAAGTGCCAAGGACTTCTTACAACTTCCGGAGGCATGGTATCCTTCCTTTTTGTTGCATATGGACTTTTATTTTTTTACTTGATATGGGGAAGTGGTTAATTGCACACCCATCTATGTTCACGCTGTTTCATTTGTCTCATGACTAGGTTGTCAACATGGAATGGGGAAATTTTTGGTCATCTCATCTGCCAAGAACTTCATATGATATTGAATTAGATGCTGAGAGTCCAAATTCCAATGATCAGGTAGGATTAGGTTTAGCTACACTTTTTCTTAATAGATAATAACAAATGACCAGATATAATTCCTTAGAGTTTCCTTGCAGGGTTTTGAGAAAATGATATCAGGCATGTATCTTGGTGACATTGTTAGGAGAGTGATTCTAAAGATGTCACAAGAGTCAGATATTTTTGGACCTGTTTCTCCCAGTTTATCAATGCCCTTTTCCTTAAGGTATGCATCTATGTGATATTTTATCTTCTTTTTAACTTGGTTTCTATCATGGTGAAGAGTATGGAAATCTTCTTTTGCGTTTTTTTCTCTCCTTCCTTTCTCTTAGGCTGCTATGCTTCTGTCGCATATCTTTATGCTTTCTAAGCTGTTGAGGCAGCATCCATGGCAGAAGCACAGCATGGATGGGTTGGCATTGGTTTTCTTTGTTTCCCTTGCCTGATTTCCATTATTATTATTCATAATTTAGGTTCTAGGTGATGGGTTTTGTTACCTTGTATCTTCATAAATTTTGAGCTTACCATTCAGGTTTAAGTGTCATTTCTTGTGGCAAGTATCATTTGCTTCTTGCTTCATGCTTCATGCTTCATGACCTTATATTGCTTAATGAATTGCTCTAGTTATCTTGTTATATGGTAGGAAGGAGCACAATGATGTTACTTGTTTAATATCATGAAACACCGCATTAGTTAAATCTTTTTGAAATCTCTGATCTGTTTAATAAGTTAACCATTTCCATACCCTATTTTAGGACGCCTTTAATGGCTGTGATGCATGAGGATGACTCCCCTGAATTGACAGAAGTGGCAAGAATCTTAAAAAATGTTCTCGAGGTAATTGAGTCATATGTCAACTCCCTTCTTGTTCAGTCTCTTGCCATGACCCTAAAGGATTACTAGTCTGACGTTTATGCTTGCAGATTCCAGATGTTCCCCTGAAGGCAAGGAAGCTTGTTGTGAAGGTATGTGATGTGGTAACCCGTAGGGCTGCTAGATTGGCAGCTGCTGGTATTGTCGGGATATTGAAGAAGATTGGCCGGGATGGAAGCAGTGGCATCACAGGTGGAAGAAGTAGAAGTGATATTAAGATGAGAAGAACGGTAGTGGCGATTGAGGGAAGTTTATACACACAATATACAATGTTCAGAGAGTACTTGCATGAAGCCTTGCATGAAATATTGGGAGAAGATATCGCGCAGCATGTCATTCTTAAGGTCACAGAAGACGGATCAGGGGTCGGAGCAGCTCTCCTTGCTGCCTCACATTCATCCAAAAGTGTCGATAACATACAGCTGCTATAAATATATAATATATAATATACATATAGCCCCTGTAAATGTAGAATTCAATTTCATATCTTTCATATATAAAAGAAAGGTTTGTTCTTTACTTGGCAATTTTCCAAAGTTCCCTTCAATTGTATTCTTAAGCTTCATTTTTCCTTCGCGGGTTATTGTATATTGATGCTGGAAATTTGAAAATGATGTTAATTTGTTCATTAGAAAAAGAATATATGATATTCTTTTTACAAACAAAAATGCTGAGTTAAATAGCATGATGTAAAGTTGTGAAAAGGCAGGAAAGGGTTGCTATGGGGACCATGTACACTGTGTGGTCATCCCCCTAGTTCATGATCATCTGCAGTTTTCCAGTTAGAACTTTAATTGTGGTTGGCCACCGCCATTACTTTTCCATTTATGCCGTTCAAATTGCCTTTGCTTCTAACCATTCCCCACTACTAGATTTCAGCATCCAAATGCTTTCACATCAGACTGCCCTAACCATGGGTTTTTCATTAACATATCAATGTCGTTTTGGGTACCTTTTTTTTTCAGATTGTTGTCAATCATAGCTTGGGTGGTAACCCTTTTGTTGACCTGCCATTCTCCATTGAAAGTGCTCTACGATTAAGAGATTTTAAATGGATACAAGTAATGTTTATGTTGGTGTATAATTATATTCCCTTGATAATAAATATCAGTTGTCAAAACAGAACTCCATAAACTCATCAAACTCAAGGGCCCTATTGGTCCGCCTTGAAGACTGGAATGGTATGTATAGTTTTGTCCGTAGCCCCAATATACCAAGAGCTAACCCCCTAACCCAAGCCCACTTCACTCAACAGGACACATATCAAAGGGTTTTGCCACCCCAAATGTGGAAATGTTGTATGAAGATGCTTTAATGCCAATGAAGTGTAGAAGCTTGGTGCTGGCAAAATACAGAATGCTGAAAATAAATTTGTCAAATGATGAGTATCACAAATATTATGACTCTAAAATATGTACAATGAATAAATATATGCTGAAATTTCATTCTAATTTTTTAACTTATTATAAATTTCTGTTATTTTCCCCCATTTTTTATCAGTGTTTATTGATTTTTTTAATATTTTTGATCGATATTTAGAAAAGGTTTTATATCTAACGTAATGTAATTGTAAATTGGTAAATTTTAACACATTTTATTTTATTTATTCCAAAGAAAAAACACTTGTCTAGTGAAAAAGACCAAAAAGAAATATCTTTCGCTTATAAAGCTTGAAGCTGAGCATATGTTGCCCAACCCTCAAGTTTGGAAGTAGAGAACAGTTGAGCTTCAGCCTCGTTTGTAGGCAACTCTCTAATGGCCACTGAAAATAAAGGAAAACCCAACACTGCCACAACCAAAGGCAAGAAGAGAAAGCAATATCTTCCCCACAATGTTAGCCCGCCAAAACCTAAACTCTCTCTCTCTCTCTCTTTTGCTATGTAGTTTTTTTTTCATATATTCTTTGTTTTTTTTTTCTTTTCTTTTTGAACGTTTTTGTTTTCCTTTCATATGTAAACAGAAAGCAGTTAAGAAAAAAGGGGCATACCCATTAAGGCCAGGAGTTCAAGGTTTCTTTATCACTTGTGATGGCGGCAGAGAACGCCAAGCTGCTCATGAGGCTATTAATGTTATTGACACCGTATGTTTTTCTTTTCTGTGTTTTTTTTTTAATTTTTAAAAATTTTCATGTTGAACCATTTTTTTTATCTGATTGAACTTAACTATTGGATCATTGATTGATAATTTGCCATCTGGGTATTTGTTTGTGATTCAGTTTCCTTGGTTAAAAATTTAACTTTTTTTAATGAACGATTGCTGATTTTTATCTGGGTATTTGATTAATGTTCCAAAGTTTTTTTTTTATATTTATTTACTTACTTAAGATGGTACTCCAGCTATATTCAAACTGAATACTGCTGAAATTTTTTAATTGCTCTGTTGGAGAGGTAAGAAATTTTGGGTTGTATTGTAGGAGGGGGATTTTATGCAAGATTAAATTGAGTTAAAGCTTTGATTTTTGAAACCATAAATGTGAGGTGGAATCTTAAACTCACCTCAAGTTCTCTGTGGAGACCCAGATCCAACTTGCAAGGAATTGCCTGTGCACCTTTTATGTTCAACCACCATGAGACTTTTTGGTTAAAACAGACGATGCCTTGTGTGTGGGTCTCCACACACAGCACTCATCAGCCAAATGTGTGGAAGCTAAGTGCTACACGGAGCACAGTGTTGCATCACATTCATGCGGTTGGAGCCACCTCTAGAGTCCTGTATCGCTTGGTGTGATCCTAGTTCTGTGTTGGGCTTGGTGGAGACATCAAGGCCTTAACAGGGGTGATTGTAATGCCCCCAAATCCCACATTGGGAATTCGTGAGGATCCACTATGGTATACATAAGACTTAAAGCTATATTTGTGAGGCACCTTTTGTGGACAAAATCTTGAGACCTTTTGGGTCAAAGCGGATACTACCTTGCAGGTTGGGTGCAGGTCTCCTCAGTTGCTATCATGGCTAGGTCTAAGATCCGGGAAAGAGAGAACTTTCTGGCTTATACTATTTGAGCATAGGTTTTAATAGGGCATTTTGTTGTTAGTTGTCTTCGCACATTATTGGTAGCATAAGAATGTGTTGTAAAGGGAACTTAAGATTGAGTTAGATATGAGTAGCTATTAGAAAGAAAGGGGTGAAAGGAAACAACTTAGATTGGAAGAAGATCAAAGTTGAATGGATCAATCTGAAAATGAAGGTAAATCAAGTTTTGAGGGAAAAACTTTTTATAAGAAGGGGAGAATGTAATACCCCACACAAATAACTTTTGGACTAGAGTATTACTGAAGTCTGTTAGGATATCATGGGATTTATTTCATAATATTCTATAATTATTGTGGAGTTTTGTCTTAATATTTCATGAGAAGAGGGGCTCTATAAGCAAATTAGGGTTGTTACATATTAAACTAGTAGCCAACATAAGTAAAGTGAAACAAGAAAAAGAAAAAGGGGGGATTCATGAACAACTCTTCTCTTTAGGGTTGGAGGCTTTGCAAAATCAAGCTTGAAGACTAAAAAATAAAAAAGTTATAGTTGGGTTTCTCATTTCAAGTTGAGCAGAAACCCTCTCTTTATTGAGAAAATATTTTGTTGGGTTGTTGAAATTGAGGTTAAAGTTTATTAGAAATACTTAGAGATTATGCAAGTTAGATATGTTCTTTTATGGCTTGGTTGGAGTTTAGCAATTATGATTTATTCTAATCATACTTTTAAGAGTAAAGTGTGAATATATATTTAGCTCAAAGGTTGGTAGGGAATTACTTCAGATTTGTAAGGATTATTGAGAAAATATGTCTTGTATGAAACAAGTTCTAAGAACTTGTAACTTTAGTATAGAGTTTTGTTATATAAATTTTGTATGGCTGGAAAGGTGGTTGAATCTAGTTTCTAATGAACCAAAACAGAATTCAAATCCGAGTTTTCTAAGTAAAGATATCTTGTTTTCAGTAAAGACTGCTCAAGTTGCCTGACAGCAATGTCAAGGGTATTTTATAGGATCTTACTGCTTTTTTCGACATTGAATTACAGCTTGAGTTATTTATAAATGGAAAGCCTATTAAGTCTAGTTTCTAACACATTAAACGGATTGTAATTTTGAGTTTTGTAGCTTAAGTTATTTGTCATTTTACTTAGTAGTGCACAAGCTCTCAGATTCATCTTTTGAAAGACTTTATGTTAGGTTGGATGATTTTACAGTGTAAATAGCCTCTATTGATCTCTGATATATTCAAATGATAGGTAGGTATAGGCTTTTGATTATTTTGGAGGATAGCTAAGTTGTTGGGAGGAAGGGAGGTAAGTTGAACCCCCCATTTTACTTGTTTTGAACTTATACCTTTGAGGCATCTTTTATGGACAAAATTGTGAGACACTTTTATGCCAAAGTGGACAATACCTCACTAGTTGGTGCTTGTACCCACAGTTTGTATTAGAAGACTCGCTAGTTGAAAATACAGGAGCTAATATCTTTTATAGGCTTTCCATTCATATAATGCTCAACATGTAACTCAATTAGTAAAATCCTAAGAATACCCCTAGTGTTGTTGCCCAGCAGCTTGAGCAGTTTTTACCAAAAAGCAAGATATTTTTAGTTAGAAAACTCGGATTTGGATTTTGTTTGATTCATTTGAAACTAAATTCAACCAGCTTTCCAACCATATAAAATTTGAATAGTAAAACTCTATAGTTTAATATGAAATTCAGCCTAAAGTTACAAGTTCTTGGGACTAGTTTCTTGCAAGATAGATTTTCTGAATAGTCCTTACGAATCTGAATTCTTTCTCTACCAGCCTTTAAATTGAACATATATTCATGCTTTACTCTTAAAAGAATGATTAGAACAAATCACAATTGCCCAACTCCAGCCAAGCCACAAAAGAACGTATAATTGCATAATCTCTAGTATTTCTAATATCCTTTAACCTCAATTTTAACAACTTAACAAGAATCTTTTTCCCAAAAAAGAGAGGGTTTCTGCTCAACTTGAGTGGAGAAATCCAATTATAATTTCTTATTTTTCAGTTTCCAAGCTTGATCTTGTGAAATCTCCAAACCTAGAGAGAAGAGTTGTTCATGAATCACCTCTTTTTTCATTCTCTTACTACTTTAATATATTCCAGCGCTAGTTGGCTTATAAAGCCCCTGTTCTTTTAAAATATTAAAACAAAACTCCACAACAATTATTTAATATTATGTAATAAACTCCATGATATGCTATTGGGCTTTGGTAATACTCTAGTCCAAATGTTATTAGGGCTGTGATAATGGTTGTGGCATTTCACTTTAAGCCTGTGTCTTTTCCGCATCTTAACTGTTCACACTTTCATGGTTTCTTTCTTTTGGTGTTATATTAGTTTGTTTTCAAGTGCATGCTTTTTGTTGATGAACCATTATTTAAGGCTATGAAACAGAGCTGATCTTGCTTTAAGTTTACAAATTATGTTTACTATTTTAGAAGGTATGTGTGCTAGCAGTACGCAATAGCAACTTTTTGGGATTTGGGATTTGCATGTGCATACTTAATATATTTCTTTGGCCGCTCCTTTTAATCAATATTTATACACAATAAGGATATCAAAATAGCACATTGATGATATTGGATAAAAAAGCCATTTACTTCGTAATGTTCTTGCTTTGGAGTTGCTGGTTAGATTTGTAGTTCAAAGTACCATCTTTTGTCTCTTGCTTCCCATAGACGTAAATTCATTCTCCACCTATTGTAAGCTATGAATTGCTCATCAAGAAACTTGGGCTCTAATCAAGGAAAAAATGTTGGATTTCACATGTACACCAATAGAGAAAATGAAAAGAAAAAGTTGACTGATGCTGCTCACCGAGCTGATTGGGAAGATAGCTGTTGACGTTCTATTTGATTGATAAGAAACATCTTTCAAAGCCTAGTTTATGGAGATATTTGTTTACCCACTCTCTTGAGAGTGAAGATTTATGGGAAGAAGTGAGATGATCTCATAGAAGAGTTTCTTAGATTATCATTTTGTACCTCTTTCTTGCACCAGGAAGGGAACTGTTAATAGACACAAATTCATAATTTAATTCATTTGAAGGGGAGGGAAATATAAGGGAAAAAAATAGGGAAGATTTACTTGTTTCTTTTTGCTCTTTCTCTCTCTCTCTCACTTTTGGGGTTATTTTTTGAGATATTGTGTTCTTGGCTCTCAATTTCTACATCCTCTGTCAGTTTTTGGATCTTGATTCGACATCACTACGAACAATACTCTACTCTTGGCATTCTTTGAAATTGAGGTTGCTTAGTGGAAAATAGAAGAACTTCCTTTGAGAAAAAGGATTTTGTTTTAGTCATTAATCTCCCAAATCCTATTCTTTGTGCATTTCCATTAAACTTATGTTTTTTTTTTTAATTTTCTTGCAGTTCTTTGAAGAGCTACTCCATGGAAAGGATTTGGGAGAGGAACCTGCAGGGTTACCCAATAAGCCTCTAAATAAAAAGGTTACTTTCTCATATAGTGATGATGAGGATGATGTTGATGAAGAGGAGGGTGATGATGAAGGAGAGGAGAAAGAGCAAAATGAAGTGACTAAATCAGATAATAGTAGAGAAAATGATGCTAGTCAAAAAAGTTTAATAAATAAAGATTTGGATCATCATAATTTGGATGATGTGTGTCATGAGAAGGTAACAGAAGACACTGAAGGTAGTAAGGAGGTTGGGGTAAATATTGAAAATCAAGCAGATAACTCCATGGAACCACCAGCAAAGAAACAATGCCGTGAAACAGATACATCAAAGTGTGAAACCAATGAAAAAGAGAAATCTATTGATAAGCTTATTGAAGCTGAGCTCAAAGAGCTTGGAGATAAGAGTAAGGTTAGTAAGCTAGACCTGCAATTGTAATTTGAATATGCTGATTAATGGAATGTCAGAAAGAGGAAAAATAGATTTAGAAAAAAACATTTTATCAGTGTGCTAATATAGCTTTTTTACCATAAGTTGTGTTGTTGCCATTTTGCATGAAACTGAAAGAATAAAACAATTACATGCTTATTGGAAAAGAAAATGAAAAACTAAAAGAATGCTGATAAATATTTTACTTTCTCGAAGATTTATTTGAATTTAATATAGTATCAATGCAGGATACCTAATTGGAAACTTCACATATTTCTCTGATGCAAGATGGAAGTAGCCCAATGAGGATGTTCCTTCATTGTTACAATGAACTTTGCCTATAAAAACCAAGATATTCTAACTTCTTGTATTTAGTCTTTCAACCTTGAACATGTTTTATTTAATTCTTTTTAGCTGTTGACAGATGAAGATATTCATGATTTTTTGTTCATTGCTCTTTCTTTTCTGATTTAATTCATCCTTGAAGTGTTGAACTACTCAAGTTTTCTTTATGGCAATTAAGTCTTATCGCTTGTAAACAAATTGGGTGATGCTTGCTGTTATTGCATTTCTTTTTCTTTTCCGGTTCTTTTATTTGATTCTTTTTTCTCTCTGCATCCTGTTCAAAAAGAGGCGGTTCCTCCACCTTGATTCAGGTTGTAATGGTGTTGTCTTTGTTCAAATGCGGAAGAAAGAAGGAGATCCTGGCCCCAAAGATATTGCACAGCATATGATGACATCTGCTGCATCAACAAGGAAGCACATGTCAAGGTTCATTATTGACTGGCATTTTATGTTAAGTAAACAACACATGCCCATAGGAAATGACATCTTGGTAATAGCAAGCTAGAGTCTTACTATTTCTGTCATTTAGGTTCATTTTAAGAGTGTTACCAGTTGAAGTAGCATGCTATGCTTCAGAAGAGGAGATTACAAGAGCTATAAAACCTCTCATTGTGCAGTATTTTCCAGTGGAGACACAGAACCCTTGGAAGGTACAAAATAGAAGAATTTCATCATTTTCTCATTATTTTTTTTCTTTTTTGATTTTGCAAAGATAAAATATTTTCTTTAGTGCTTCAATAAATGCAAGCTTGCCATAAAAATACGAGGACATATATTCAGATTAAGGTAGTTTGGTATGCATAGGAGGGAAAAGGTGCATTGAATTTGAACCTGCTGTCTATAACTCATTATTATATTTTTAGGGTTGCTGTAAGAATCCCTATTATTTGTCTTTGGTTGATCTCATTCAGACTGGCTTGAAGCAAACTTAGATTTGACCTGATTCAAATGCATGACGTATGCATGATCGACGCCATTTAAAGCCACAACTTCTAGTCTAGCTCTAGGTGGGTTGTTTACTAAAATGAGAGATTTGACTTATTTTTCCTTTTTTGAGGGAAGTAACAATTTGGACCTGTCAGACCTTTTAAATATATGTTGGCAAATCAGGCTGAAGATGCCATATAGCTGCCAAGTGAGTTTTCAATTGTGTGGATTTGACGGGAAATTAAAATGGTCTTTGAAATTCTAAGTTTGAAAACCATGGATTTAGATTGTGCTCCAGAAGTGCTTGATCCAAATAATGATGATGGACTTTATGTCTTGTGCCATTTGCCTGTTAGAAGATCTGTATGAGATAGGCGTAAAGTATCCATAATAAAAGCTTCAAATTGGTCATGACACGCCAATCAACTCTTGGTTCACTTCAATCTATAAAATTGAACTGTCTAAAATTGTTTGAAATTCCTTCATTTAGCATACAAAACAGCTAATTTGAACTGATCTTTTAATGTTGTATTCACAGTGTTAATGTCTTGGTTTTTATTTGAGGGAACCTTTTTCTCCTCTACCTTTGAAACATCATGTGTGTATGTATTAATTTCCTTTTTGGGTAGTCAAATAACATTTATAAATTAGATTTGGCCACATGCGCCTAAAAAAATTCCCTTTTATGTCTTTTTTCTTTTATATATTATGAAAAACATTTATAGTATAGGAGAAGGATAAATATTTTTCTGATATCACGTAGAGGTCATTGTTGTTGTGTGAAGGTCCCTACATGTATAAAGCTTACAGCAGCCTTTTGGTTTAATTGAACTGAAATGTATTATTTGTGCTGGGATTGTAACTTTTATTTCTGTACAGTTTGCTGTACTGTATGAGGCCCGTGCAAATTCCGGTATTGACAGGATGAAAATTATAAATTCAGTTGCAAAGTCTATACCTGCACCACACAGAGTTGATCTTAGTAATCCTGACATGACAATTGTGGTCGAAATTATTAAGGTGAGGACATTATCTTTTATTTCTAGAATGTGAATATTTGTGCAAATTTGCTTGCTTGTGTATGACTTAATCCCACTAGCTGAAGACTTTGTCCGGTCATGAGCCATGATAGTGACAGTGAAAAGTCAAGGCTAAAATAATGGTTTTTTCTTCAGAAATATTTCATTTTAAAATTTTCAAGGTGGAGTGTTTTAAATGCCTGAATATGACAGATTTCTCTTCCACACGCTAGAGTAGAGAGTATAAATTTCATTTAATAAAATATTAAACTTGACTATTTCTCATTCTTAAGCAATTCTTGCTTGGCTTTTATGGTTCTGCATGTTGTATTTGTTATGATTTGAATGTGAATCACATCTCGGACTTATCTAGTTGAAAGGGAAAACATAAATGATTATATGAGATAATGGAGCAATGCATCTTTTGTTTGAGATGTGAATCTCGCTCTAACACTTTGTGTGCGAGTCCCAACCCTACCTTGTATTTTCATTTTTTGTTTCTAAATATGCTTACTCACAGGAAATTTTTTTTTGGTTTTCTGAACGGAATGATTTTTTTCAGACTGTGTGCTTGATTGGGGTTGTTGAGAAGTATAAGGAGCTGGCGAAATTTAACCTGAGGCAACTTACATCACCAAAGCAATAGCTGCTGGTTGCATTGATGGAGCTGGTAGCAGGCTTTCTGCCTTGTAATGATATTGAGGATTTGGAGTGAAGCGGTCACGTCAAATAAGCTAGGTTTAATAGGAGGAGAAACAGGTGAGTTAAACGTTTTTTACTAGTTGAGTTGAGAAGGATGTAACTCTGTAAGAAGTGGAATTTGGATCATCTTTCATTAAGTATTTCTTGTAATTGTGAACTTCAAATTTCTCTTTACACATATTTGACAATGAATCCAACTTCAAATGTCATGGAAATGTGTAAGCTTGTGATTCAATGGTGATCATGTTAGAGTTGCCCTTGTCTTATTTGAACTAACATGTGAGAGTGCATTTTCATGTGATAGTTGTGTAAGTGATTTTTAGACTTGAGAGCATTTGGTTTTTCTGTGTGTATATAGTGCGTTATACTTTGATACCATCTTAAGTGATCTTAGTCAAAAATGAAATATCTGTAAGTAAGCCAATGATTAATAACAGGAAATTAGAATCTTTATGATGAATCTCGTCAGTGGCCTGGAAAGTGGAAAGTATTTTTCTTAGAGATAAGAGATTTATTATATTCAGAAGTCAAAGTGAAACCATTCATCAATCAGAAAAGAATGAAGCACTGTAATGAAATAAAAGACAAATTTCATGTTCTCATTTCTCCAAGACAAACTCCTCTATTCCTTGATTTCTCAAATCATGCATTAGGAGCTTTGTACAACTTCTCAACCATCTTCCTATATTCTGCAAGACCAAAAAATAAAAACAAAACATTCAGACCATTTTCACCACAAAAATGATCTGCTCGTAAAACAAGTAAAGCTATTCAAACTGGGACATACCTTCTTGATTGCTCCAAAGTTGTGCTGCTTGAGTGTTTAAAGGAGAGCTAATGTTTGGTTCTGCATGTCAGATAACCAAATGATAAAATTATTAGAAAGGCCTTTTCACTTTGTAGCTTTAGTGTTTACAAAGGTAGAAGTAAAAAAAAGAGAGAAACACACCTCCAAGCAGACTCTGGATAGATAGCAGTATGGTTCTTACATCATAAGCAGATGACCATTTATCCTACAACAAATAATGCATCCAAGTAGTATCAAATTATGTCCAAAGACAGAGGCAATTTTTTCTTTCCACAAAAATCTGGACCGTACAAAGAAGAAAATTATACCTGAAGAATGTCCAAGCAAATGTTGCCATAGACATCAACATTGGGATGAAAGCAGCCAGTCTCAAACTTGACCTTTGGAGGCTTAAAAGGGTAATCATTGGGGAATGCAAGAGATAGCCTGTATTCTGTTCCTTCAAATACAGTGTCTTTGCTTCCTGTAATTGTTCCTTTCCAGCAAAATATGTTGTCCTCTTCAGGAAACGCTGATATGCCAGAATCTCCACTCATCTGTCATTTTAAAAAATATAATTAGAAAACCCTGTATCATTAAAAAACAATGTATTGATTTCTTTGGTTTTTAAGAAGCAATAGTATAACAAGGAATGAAGGCAATAGAGCTTTTACCATCAAAGCCATCAGTTCAGACTGCAACCTGTTGAAATCAAAGACCAAAAAAAAAAAAAAGAGAAGAGCAGAGATTTAGAAATCCTCACAGAAAAAAAGACAAAAGATAAAAATCAATACGTAAAATTTATTCAATTAACTAATGCTTTAACAACATTTAATTCAATGTTCTTGGACACAATGAACACAAAAACAGTGAAGGGGCAATTCTGTTTTTATTTAAATAAATAATTACTCAGAAAAAGAGAAAAAACCCGAGACCCAGGCAAGTGGTTGTTACCCTTGAACAGTTTAAGGAAAAAAAAATTTAAAGCAGACTCTTAAAACTACACCTTAGTAGGGTAGAGACCAAAAAACCATTGGAAAAGAAAACAAAAAAGCAAGGAGCCCATCGTGTTTTCTATTCCATCTAGTTAAGAAACAGACTCCAATGTAAACAAAAAAGGCCAAAAAAAAAAAGGAGAGAAAAAGAAAACCTTTTAAGAACTGACTGAGAATCAACAGTCTTAGCAGTGGGGGCAGGCTGCTTTGTTCCAGTGCTGGTGGCCACTGGGGTGTTTCCCTGGTACCCATTAACAGTTGCCATTTGTTTATTTTCTTATTATTGTTTCAGCCAAAAAAGAAAGGAGGGAATGAGTGTACAAGAAGAAGAAGAAGAAGAAGAGTTCCAAGAATGGGTTTTTCTCTTCTTCTTTTCAGCGACAGGTTTTCAGCGAGAGAGAGAGAGAGATGAGAGGAGAAGTTTTTGAGGACGGGTTTGGTTTTAAACGTTCTGAGGGAGGACAGAAACGGCGTCGGTTTACTGAGGTTTTGGTGGATTGAGGAGCGGCGGAATTTAAAAAGTGGTTCTTTTGACCGTTGCAACGACGGTGTGTGCATTAGTTCTAATTTTCTCTTTTCTTATCTCTAACGGCTAGTTCATGTTCTCACCTCTTCTTTTCTTTTTTGTTTTCCTTTTTCGCCCCCCCTTTTCATTCTTTTTACGTTTTGGTCTCTCTTTCTGGGATCCTATTCTTATTATTATTAAATAATGATTAAATGGTAAGCCAATCTCATATATATTGCGGTATCTAATAAGAAAAAAACAAGAAACTGCTATTACTATTCATTAATCTGTACATTTATTATCATTTTTACATCATGCAAATTTGACTATAAAGGGTAATGTCAAATAAACAAAATTAATATGCACCCAAAAAAAAAAACAAAAATTAATGGTCATAAATCCAAATTCCAATTAACGCAAATGCAACTTCCTTTTACTTTTATGATTCAATTTTTTAAAAAAACAATATTAATTAATATTACACACCCTTATTTCAGATTTTGGGTTTTTTTTTTTTTTTATACTTTTGTTGGGGTTTTATCTTGCCACCATGTTTTTCCTTTTTAATAGTTCATCTTTGCCACAGTGCCTTGAGACCCTCACCAAACCACTGTTTTTAGTCATTGTTTTTTAACTACAAAGCCAAACTAGGAAGAATTAATCAAGTGCAGAGCAGAATCTCAGCAATAATTTGATAACTACTTGTTATCACCACTGTCATACAGATCTATTTCCACACCCGCAAATTCATGCGCAGGAGAGACACACAGAGAGAGAGAAGGTAGTTTTTTTAGTATCACTACTGTAAATTTACAGAGAGCAACAGCGAAAGAGAAGCTTAGCAATGCAGTTTGATTACACGAGCTACCCTCTCAAAGAAAATAGGGCACATGTTAGTGCTGAAAATAATGACCTCCCTCATCCACTCCGGTGCCACTCTCTCAAATGTCCCTAATGATGATACACGGTACAGCAACTCTGATTCCTCTCCACCTGCTATATTCATCCATGTGAGGCTGAATGAGTAACCTGTCCAGAAATCAGAATCAAGAATGGATTAGTTTCATTCATATGAGTAGGACCTGATTCTTGTATAGGTGCACGTAATTTGCTTGGCAAGTATAGCCCACAAGCTTTTTGAGTACCCTTAGCCACAATATCCATTCAATCTGGAGAAAGCCTTCCCTTTATTTAAAAATTGATATTTTTTTCCCAGTATAAATAAAAATCAAGATTGAAAAGCAGAAAAGATGTAATCTTTACTTCTTACAAGTACACAACCATCATGTAACCTCAATGCCAAACATCAACAAGACAACTGGCCAAGATTTGTTTCGGCTTAGTTTACACAACTCTTTCAAGATATTGTCCTGATGTGCATGCTACATCGTTTTCTCACATTTCTTATCAAACCATATCATAGTTTCTATTTACAAGAAAATCAAATATCAAAGACTACAAAAAAATTAACCGATTATGGTGGATCTATATTATATATAAAACAGCAGATTTATGATATCCTATTTTCATGTTATGACCTCATTTTCAAAAATGCAACATTTATGTGAACCAGATATTATTTCGGCAAATGCTACATGTTAGTGTGGCACATAATGGGAGTTCTTATAAAAGCCTTTGATGCTTCGGAATATATGCCAGATGGCATGCTTCATTTATCTCAGGATTTGTAAGTTTATTTAGATTTTTTGTGAGCTTTCAAGGAGTTTCTTTCCTCAGTCTTAAATGAAGTTATGTCACATTACAGATACAACTCAAGCAATAGTAAACCAAGATGCCTGAACACGCTTTGAACCATGAAATATATCAAATCAATAAAATGCCAACTCTATGGAAAAAAAACCTAGAACTGAGAAGTGAAAGAGAGATAGAAATACTCAAAATTTAATGAACTATAAGTATGATGCTCAAGTTAAGAATTACCACTTGATTGATGCAGAGCTGAAATGCATAGTCCTTCAGTTCGATTAACAGTGGATAATTTCATGCCAACTAAGCACTCAATAAGAGCCTGAAACAGACAAGTACCACTAGCAGTAGCATTTGCACCTAGACTGTCTTTACAGCATTCTGGCTGCATAGTCATCCAAAATAATCAGTACAGATGTAGCAACTAACAGCTTTTTAAGTAAAAAGATGCTCGATTAGGGACATACCAGCTGAACATGTGCAAGAACCTCGCAAGATGGACCTTTCTCAGATAAGTCTTCTACCAATGCACTCACCATGGCAACATTGCGGTTAGCTGAACCAGGAGTAACAAGACTGTCCTCTGTCTCAGCAGCAGATTTCCTGCTACGGCTCCTTGTCATCATTTGAGTGGAGCTACCAGAAACCTTTTCTGATGCAACTTGTGCACTTCCAGGAGAGACCATCGGTACATTACATCTTTTGCCTCCCTTCAAATGTCCCTCTTGATGCAGATTTTGCAGCCGATTAACTTCTTCGGAAAGTGCTTTATCTGCCATAAATTTTAGCATTCAGTAAAGAAAGAGATAAAGAAATGCTTATGGCTTCACCAGGGAGTTAAAATGATTAACAAAGGCAAATCAGATATAAAGAAATGCTTATGGTTTCACTAGGGAGTTAAAATGATTAACAAAGGCAAATCATTAGTAGTCCAGTGCAGAAATCACCTAATCTTGCCATTGACTAGAGTTGGCTATGAGATAAATTTTATATAATGGATACTAAAGGATCAGAGAAGGTTCAAATTAGGACCCCCTTTTTTTTTTTTGAAAGGAACTGTTTCAATTAAATTTATACATATTTTCAGGTGACAACTGCCAGATTTCTGATTATTTCTCTTATTATTTACAATTTTTATGTATATTTTTAAGATGCCTCTGTTTGCAGAATATGATCCACAAGAAAAGGGTATATATACAACAAAATGTAGGCTTCTGCTTCAAATTTCCAGTAAACTCTGCCTCTAACAGCTCAACATAAATTAGTTTACCTTATCCATACAATAACTGCAAGTCCATTCTTTTATCATATACCTATCATATATTTGAACTCGCTATATAAACAAGTGCAGCCAAAAGAAAAAGTAGTAAGCAGTTGGTATAACCCAAATTGATCCACAGTTTTCAATGCTGTTATCATCAGAACACTAGAGACTACACCCAACTCAAGTTGCAATTAAAACATTGACTCATCAAAGGAATCCTATGTGCAAGACCAAATACCCTCACCTGCCATTCCCTCCACCTTTCATGGGTTAAAATTCTCCCTTTTTTCACTGCCCTTTTGCAATTCTTTTCTTTCCAAAATTACTTCCATGTCTCCAAAGGCACCATGTATGAATTCTGATACTTGAATTTTTTTAAAAATTTATTTACATCTAGCAAATTATTTGAGGTGCTCAACAACATTTGAATTTATATAAATGTCAAAATAGAAGATGAAGTGGGACATATGCATATACACAGTTGTGAATGATGAAATGTGGTCATTAGCAGGATAACCATCTTCCCTAATGATTGAACATTTCGAAGTTAAAGCGTATACAGAAAGGGGGAAAAGAGGAAAAGCAACAGATCTATTAACCATACTATGAGAATTAATGTATAGCAATACTTAAAAACATTAACATCATTACCTTTTCCAGCTCTTGGAAGAATTGAAGCAAATGGTTCTTGTCCCATGAATTTTGGACAGGTGCAAACCTCAACAGATTGTAGAGACTAACAATACAGACCTAACCAGACTACACCTACTTCAAGGTTCAACATAGTCCTAGTGCACTGAATTCATTTTCTGTTAAGACAAGAACTTGAGCATAGAAATCCACTTCCTCAACCACAAGCTTTGTTTTTTGTCCTATAGTCATTTAAACTGATATGAATTATTTATTTTCTAGTTCTCCAGAATACCTAATACATTCAGCATCAATTTATGCCACTTTTCTTGCAATAATATGACTCAGTTCCTATATTCAACAAAGATGAAGCAAGAACAAGACTAAGAAAGTCAAGGATGTCAATGCCATTGCATATATATTCTACACTGGAAGAAAGAGATACAAACAACAATCATCAAATAATCAATTTCTTCTTACACTTCTGATTATCTTCAATCAAAAGCTTTTGGTAGTCTGCGCATTGCTTTTCCTTGCTGGACCTGCAATGATATATGTAGCATTTAAAATTCAAGAAAGAAGAAAATTTCATCTCAACAGAGAAAATTAAAATTACTTACATTATAGAGGCCAATTCACTTCTCAACTCATTAACTTCCACATGCAACTTGTCATTTTCACCCTTCAAGTGCTGTATCAACTCCTCTGCAGCTGCAACAACAGAAAGCAAATGACTAAGCATTTTAGAGGGATCCTAAATGATTGTGCAATTTAACTAGTAATGAAGCACCTAGAAAATTTGTCAAGGTAACAAAGATGGAACTTCTGTTCAAGTTTGGTTCATAAGAGAAACAAGTTCACACAAGCTTTTCATAGACCAAAATTTGAGCTATGTGCAAGCAGTTTGATTCATTCTACAGCCTCAAATACATGGTTATAACTTATAACAGTCAATCTATTGCTTCAATACACAAGATTGAAATGTCATATGCTGTTCAAATATAGAGCTTGGACCTGATTCGATGGTTCAAAAATCAGAGCAAGTTTCTGCAGCAACCTATAGCAGTTGGTTTTTACCATCACCAACAAATCAAATTCGAGACACAAAGCCACAATTATACCTTCCATGAAATTAGAGAGGGTATGACAGCCACATATGGAGAGGGGCGATCAGAAACCCAATAGCATCTTGTTTCTATTTTAAAGCTTTACATCACACTGTACTACAACCTCATTACAACTACCAATAAAAATGTCAGAAAAATGTAAAACTATCAGTCATGAGATTAGTCAAACCATTAAACATTTACCCTCAAGACAAATGGTTTTGAATTAGATAATGCATTATTTTACCTAAACTTCATTAGGAAGGTCAAAATAAGAACATATCTTTAATTTAACAGCCAAATACAGGTGACCTTAGTTATATTTCTATGATATATGCTAGATATAACTTGTCTAGATAAACACAGTAGAGAAACAAACACAAAGATAATCCTTTGAGATTCACATAAAATATGAAAATGGAGATAAAAATAGTGACTATAACATGCAATACGTACCACGCACATAACTTAAGAATTTCTCTTCTTGATCTCTATTTATGTCATCCATTTCAGACAATTTTCTCTTCTGGAAAAGATATGAAAACAAAAGTCACATCATGTGGGGAAAGAAAAAGCCACATTTGCTTCTCAAATAGACAGGAAAAAAAAAATTCCACTTTAACCAAACTAAGTTAAAATTATATACACATTACCGCTGAATTATCATTTCATAGAGATACTTAATGGGAAAAAAAAATTAACATTTCACTCTTTTCTTTTGTTTCGTTGGCAACCAAACTTATAATGAAAGAAGTAATATGGCATATGACAAAAAGACCTTGAGCTTGTCATATTTATCGTAAAGCTTTGCATATAAAGGCTCCATCTGCAAAAAAATAAATAAAGAAATAAAGAAAAGGCCAGTTAATTTTTGTATACACATAAGTAGAATTATGTAACTTAAGAAATAAATAAATTACTAAAATCCATATATTTGAAAATAATCTCTTAAGTGCTTAAAGAAACCCTAGTTTCCGTGTTCAAAAGTTGTAGAACACAAAAAAATGAAATGGTAAAAAGGGAAAAGAAAATGAAGTAAAAAAAGAAAAAAGAAAAACACTTCCATTTCTTTTATTGGTTTTCCTTTGTTTTCTAAGCAACCAAACAAAAATTATCAAGAAACTAGAAAGTTAAAGGAGAAATTGGAAATTGATCTGATAATAATGAAGATGATAACATAGCAAAGTTAAGTAAGATTTAAGAGAAAAGGAGAATTGACTCTCTTTTTTTTTTACCTGTGTTTGGTAGCCTAGAAAACATCTTAAGACTACATCAAATTTTTTGATGGGTGAATGTAAAGGAAATTATTTCCACAACTTTATACAGTGATCGACATGAATGAACATTCTTTAAACTCACTACTACTATTATTTTTCATCATATACTGAAAAGGAATATAAATAAATTAACTGGGAAAAGAACAAAGTTACATACATGCAAATAAAAACGCATGCTCATGATTATGCTTAATTTGAGATAAGCACGATACACATGCTTATTTGCTTCATTCTTTTCTGTTAGGACCACTTTATGCCATTCCAGAATACTCTTAAATCAATTTCCCTATGTGCTAATCACAGTAAACCAATGTTCTCATAGACACCAACAACCCTAGCAGAAAAGCAAAATACAAGATCGAATCTGAATCGTTAAATAAAATAATTATAGAACCCTAATTTTCCTTTTCTTTTCACACATTTCCATGGAAAATAATAAAGAAGCTATGAAAATTAAAATTAAATAAAAATTAAATACAAGAAGACGGTAATTAGAGTATGGTTTTACCTTCAAAAGCAGCAATTTTTTGAAAACAATCTAGGAAGCTCGTGAGAGAAAGTAACCGGACCAAATGTGAAGGTCGTGAGAGAGAAAGACGGGTGCGATGGAGAGGGGCAGACGGCTGTGATAAGCGAAGAGAGAGGAACAAAAGAAGAAGCAGTCGTGAGGTAGAGAGGAAGACGGAGAAGAAGAAAGAGTACCGAAGAACTGAGGAAGGCAGCAAGGTGAAAGTGGCTGGCTCCCAGGCTGGGTGTGCCGCTAAAAGAAAGACGAGAAAATATTTGAATGTTTTTAAAAACGAATAAATAAATTCAGGATTTGGCTACACTATTACCATATTACCCTCAAATCACCCCACATTTAAGTGTGCACTATCCTTGCTAAAAAGGTTAAAATAATCTTTTTACCTGTTTCAGATTAAATGGGTTTACACCGTTGACACTTAACATATTAAGATCATTAATTAAACGAGTTAGATGTGTCTTAGTTGTGTTAAGCATATTTAATACATTTAAAATATAAATAATGTATGAAATATATCACAATAATTTTAAATTAAATTCACTTAACACTGTGTCGTGTTTATATTATGTGTTAACTTGTAATCGTATAAAAAGAAAAATGATAAAATATTGTCATATTAATTGCAAATTTTTTTATATTTTAATTATAATAATGTGGAAATAAATTTTTGAAAAGAATAATTAGACCACTTGTTATTGAAATAAAATAATATGGTTTTTATTCAATGCAATGTAACTAGATATTGCATTTCAATATTGGTAATAAATGATAATAAAATGAGTTTATTTTCCTTTGTACTACAATTATTTATGATTTTGCAACTATTATACTCATTATATGTTTATTTATTAGTCCATTTATGATTTTGAATCTCTCTTATTCATTTTGACTAATGAAGTTAATTATAAAAGATTATATGAACAAAAATAAAAAAAATTAAATATTAAATCTAATGTAATAAAAGAATAATAAAATTTTAAAATTTTTTATTTAATTTTAAAAAATTAATTAAGGAAACCTTAGTCTCGATGGTAGGTAGATGTGGGATGCAGCACATTTCCCAGTGGCGCCGCACGTGATTGGTAAGCCCAAGCCCCAAGGTGGTTCCAGGTTTGAAGCTTCGTTTCCTAAAAGCCAAGCAACGAATATTTTTAGAATCTTAATTCTCAAATCCTCACTTTCTTTACTTTTTTTTTTTCTTTCTTTCTTTATTCTTTTCCACATTGGTATTGGTAATGGGATTTATAGAAACCTGCAAAATGTGGGTTTGTCCCCTCCTACACACAATGCCACAATGTTACTCTTTCTGCCCACATTAACTGATATGACCAATTTACGCATCAAGCTTTTATTTTTTTTTTTTCCCTTTACTTTCTCTATAGTATCAGCATTTGGTGCTTCCATGTCTCTCACCATTTTTTAATTCTTCCATCAAATTTTGAAATTATGTAACTTTGAAATGTATTTAAATATTTGATTTATTAGTTATTTTATGATTTTTTTATTTTAAATTTAACACAATAATTATAAATCCTGGAATGAAAATATTAACGGTCAATTAACAATTAGATTTATGTATTTTAAAAATTAATATATTTATGTAAAATTATAATTAAAAAATTATATTAAAAATAAATAAAAATAATATTTCAAATTAAATCCAGTCCAGGCCCAAAATACGGTGCCAAGTCCCAACTCGAGTTGAACGTAAGTCGCAGGTTTGGTGGCAATCTATTATTATTAGTCTAAGAAAACAATTATTGAGATAGCTATTTTAGATGGAAAGATCGAATATGAAGTAAATAACTGTCCAAACAAGTCACTGATAGGAAGAAAATATCGGAAAGATAAAAGCAAATAGAGACACAAAATTGTTTGCCTTGAGTCGACAATGCCAACAAGAAGTTTCCATGAGTTCGGTCCGACTGATACCTTTAAAATTTAGACTCAGACTTCACTTGTTCATTTATATTATATTTATTATTAAAGAATTTAAAGATATTTTTATATTGTTATTTTATTTTTAAATATATTTTAAAATTAAAATTAAATAAAAATAATTATTAATTAATATATAATAATATTTTTATTATTATTATCGGATCGGATCGGATCGGATCGGATCGGATCGAACCTCCAAAGTTCAATCTCAAACCAAATCTATAAATTTGATAAGTAGTTTACTTCTATCACTAAAACGATAATTACTAATTCTTATTCCATGCATTGTGAATAAATGAGATTGGTTCGTAATTATAGCTTATAATTAAGGATGCAAAATGCACAAACATCCCCTTAGGACATTATGACATTAGCATCCAAGACCCAAAAGTGATGGAACAATATACTCCTTCAATATTTGTCACCCTCAACCTTTAATCATATGATGCCAAGGACCTATGTATAAATATATGTGCCTAGCAACAGCCATTATGGGTAGCCCATTTATCAGTCTAAATTTTTTAATGTTCTTTAATGCTCGTTATTAAGAGAACAGGACCATATTTGGACCACTTGGTGCACCCATTCAATAAATTTTGGGGTACCATTAATTAAACTTGTCAACAGCGGCTTTTCGTTTTCCTTTATTTCCCATCTTCGTAACCAAGTAGATGTGATGGGATTACCAAACATAAATCTCAGAAATTTTTAAACGAAATTATGAAATTAAATTCGGGTAAAAATTTATAATATAAAATTTAAATATATGAAAATGATTGGAAATATATGAAAAAATAATCTCATGCATGTTCAAAATTTTGACTGTAATAAATGGATTGAAAACATACCATTTTGGCTCTAAAAATGCTCAATATCAAAGGGTCTTTCAATGTTTTCTTTTTCCTCACAATACACAAGTTATTTCAAACACGTACATGTAACCATTTGCAAAGTGTTTATAATTAATTTATTATATATGTGATCTATTTTAATTTTCTTTTTGATAACCTATAAGAGATTCTAAATAAATTAGGGTAAGAATCTTTGACATAAACCAATAATTTGAAAAGAGAATGGTTTCCAATTTTCTCTCCCATTCAGGTGATGTTAACAATGGGCTTACACATTTTTTCTTGAGAAAAGCTTTTGTTTATTGATGGAAATGCAGCATGTACCATACACACACCGAGAAAGAAAACAAACAGAAAGAAGAAGTTGATGGATTTAACAGAATGATTTTTTTTTTCACTTTTTTCTAACTATAAATTGTTCATATACAAAGGTCGAGCAAGCAAGCAAAGCAAAGGTTATTATCAAACATCATTAGTTTATTTAGAATTAAATCTTGGGTTCATAATCAAGTGAGAAAAACAGATGTTTAAGTTAAAAGTCCAGTTATTATTTAATTAAAAAAAAGCAAGAAAAGTTCCAGTCCTATATCTTTATTTTAGTCTATTTTTTTTTCTTGTCTACGAGCACTAGTTTGTCCTTTTGACTTTATTATAGTCCTGAAATGGGCATTACTTAATGTGACATTCTATTTGTACAAATCTTCTCTATTTGCCATTTGGAATCAAGACCTGACAATGCTTTGTTCTTTTATATTTTTTATGACTAAAATATCATACTATTAATTTGCAGCTGGGTGTTAATTATTTTTATGACATCAATTTTTTTGTTTTACGAAAAGAACAAAAATTCCTTTCTGTCTATCTTTAAATAGGGATATTAGTATACAAGGTATGTAAATTAGAAACATCAACATGTAGGGTACTTGTTATTTTTAAGATATTAATAAGATATTTAAATCTTATAAATACTGGATTTTTTTTTTGAATTGTTACCTGAATTTTATTTGAATGTCATAAACACTACTTATTAAATACTTTTACCTATTAAATACATGATTAAACTACATGTTTTAAATTATTTTATATATCTTATTAATGAAAATTAAATTAATAAATTAAAATTAGTTCATAAAAAATAAATTAAAATTTAGAATAATTAATGATTTTTAGTAAGTATTACATTAATTATAAAAACCTTATAAATGAAAATAATATATCTAAAATTAAACTTTAATATTAAAAATTATTATTTATAATTAAATTAGGATAGTTGATACTTTAAAGTCACTACTCGAGTCTATGATAGGTAGTAGTTTTACTTCTCAAACTAGATTTAAGGTATCCTAATCTTGTTTAGTTAGAACGAACAATATAGGGTATACCATTATTAGGTACCCAATGACATTTAATATAAATCATGTAAGAATAACCATTGTTCCTTTAAAATCACAATCAATGGGTGCATTAAGCATTGGTATTTAACATTTTCCTAAAAAGAATTCTACCAATTTCTTTAATATGGATGAATATGCATAAATAAATATACTTGATCTGTGTAGGAGAGAAAAAGGCAGCAAAAAATGGGAAAAGGTGTGCATGAAACAGGACAACCCCAGGCAGAATTATAATTGGTCCTTTGCTTGTCAAATCCATGTACAAAGTTGAGACCTGATGACTTTGATTAAAGGCAACTCAATGTGAGTCCATAATGCTTCTAATTTAGCATCAACTTTTGACTTTAAAATACTTCTCAATGTAATGTCAAAAAGGTAAATTTGTCATGCTCCCACATTTTATTCCTTGGACCCATCAAAATCTTTCAAGTAAAAACAGTTATATTCATGTCTCCTCTCGATAGCGAAATTCCCAACCTACCCTTTCCTTGTCTTTAATGACCCCCAACCGGCCTTTACTAGACCAGGGCCCCCTCTCTTGCATGGGCGCCCATTTCTTTTCTTTTCTTTTTTATTTTTATTATTAAATCCCCAAATTTGACATTCGACTGACTTAATTAGTTAATTGCGTATTAATTAATGGGATTTTTATAATTATAATGTGAAAGCTAAGTAACGGATCCACATGGCCTAGCTGGACAGAAGCAGGTAGCTGTAACCTCAAAGCTTGTCAAATAATAAATGAAATGGACTACATAAATGAAATTTAAACACCTTATTGTATTAGAGAATATAAGGACATGATTTAAACAACTTTATACTAAATTTTCTTTCATTGTATTAAAATGGTCATCACGTCACAATCATATGTTAAAAAACGAAAAACCATATTCATATCTCATTTGAATTTTATAGATGTTTTTACCTTTTTAGAATATTAATATTAATTAAATAAAACAAAATAAAATTTTAATCCACAAAAAGATTCTTTGTAACGAAGTCCTAGAAAACCAATGAGTGTGTTCTAAGCCAAAGGGTCCCACAGCGCTGCATGTGTAAAGGGTTTGGTTTCAGAGCTGCCATTAATACCCCATATGTTCAGTTTTTTAAAGCTTTGATTATCTTTTTGGCTTTTGTATATAGTAACATCATCATCATCATGGCTTTGAAAAGCTTCAAAGGCAATGAATTATTATCATTTCTATGGGGTATAAACAAAAAAAAGAAAGGCACACTCGAACAGTTAACTCACTCAGGTCTTCTCGGTTTCTTTAATGTAAGGATGTGTTGAGTAGTTTTAGTCCTTTGTTTTCAAAATTTGGAATCTTCTTGGTGAGGGTTTTTAGGAACAGCATAGAAGAAATAGAAACTTTTATTCATTTGGGCTGGTGGGGTTTTTTTTGTTTGTGGGGAGGCTAAGCATTGGAGGAGTTGACCTAAAGAGCTAACTTCAAACTGGTGTCTTATTAGGGGATTCTCTCGTTTTAGGCAGGATTTGAGGGTGTTTTAGAAGTGGGTTTGGGGGGGTTTTTCTCAAGTGGTTACATGAAATGAATCTGGTGATGGATTCAAAGCAAGTTTCCTCGAAAGATTTAGTGGGTTTTTTGTGATCTACATGTTAAAGAAGAAGCTACATTTTGGTCATATTTCAAGGTTTTGACTTTGGTGAACAAGCTGGCTTGAGCAATTTAGGTTGGTTTCTTTTTTTGGTGTGAGGGTTGTGGTTTTAGGGATTAAAATAAAACTGGGTTTCTGTTTTAGCTTTGAAAGAGCCCTGTTTTGAGGCCAGTTACTGGTGTATTGCCATAAACAAAAGGGGTTGTCGGTTTCCTGTTTTCGATATAGGGTTAAAGCATTTGTCTTTTGGGTTCTGGAGGAGCCTGTTTGGAGGTCTGCTGCTGAAGTTGTTTTCTTTTTCCACTGTGAGAAAATGGCTTGCATGAAACTGGGATCCAAAACTGATGCATTTCGAAGGCAAGGGCAGGCTTGGTACGTACCTGATCTTAGCAATTCAACTACATCTCCATCTCTCTCTGTATAATTTATTTTGGTCATTGACTATTGTTAAGACTATTATTATTTTTTGTTTTGCTTTACTGCGTTTTAACCTTCTTGTGGATGTGCTAAGTCTGCTCTGTTTCTGTCATTTTAGCATTTAGTTTTGGTTAAAACTGTTAGAGATATTTTTATGTATGAAATCGCATGTATACGTATCTACTGACACACTCGTATGCTTGTTTTGGTTGTTAATTTAAGCCACCAAGTTAGTTTTGTTTGATAAGGAAAGCTCAACTGTATTTGTATTGCTTTTGGTCCACAGATTTGTGTTTCATACTCCTAGTCTGAAACTCAAGTTTTCATACTAAAATCGATTAATTGCTTAGGAATTCATTCAGTTGGTGCAAATCCTGTTAAAAAATTGTTTCTCCAATTGAAATAAATTTGTGAAGTTAGTATTAGTGGGTTGACTTCAATTGTGCAATTGTTTTTTTGTTGAAGTAACTCCAGTTGATGAATGCTTTAATTGATAGAAGATGAATAGCTTGTCCAGTATCAGCAAACTTCTAACTCATGAACAATTTCTTTTGACTCTTTCACAAATTTAACCTAGATGATCAGTTTTGTCTTACTATACCCTCTTTTATAATTAAAGAAAGCTACACGTTGTCTCCTAGATACTTTAACATGAAGCACTTATGATTGTGGTTTTGATTTGAATGTACAAGTTAAACAATCAGCAGAAGGGGGATTTCCATATAATAGGAGACCTTGATACTGTCTAAATATTAATCTCATCTTATCTTTTTTGTTTATATTTCCTTATGCTCACATATAGAATGTTGTATTATGCATTTAGTAAAATATAATAGGGTAAGGGACTTGGGATGACTACAGGGTTTGACCAATATAATATCATGTTTATGTTAATAGTATTAAGGTCAGAAATCATAATTCACCTTTTTCTTTTTCTTCGCCTTCCTATAACACATTCAATGTTCATGCTTTTCAGAAATAAGATCAAATCTGACATTTTTTTTAAATCAATACTGGAAGCTTGAGTACAACAATCGAATCAAGCAAAACGAGAATGCAGAATTGTTTCTTATCCTAGTGATTTTTTCAAATGTGGCAAGCCCGGCACTTGGACGAGGAGGACACCTCTTAAAAAATGATCGTTAATGCCCATTAAGATAGCGTTATAAGTATTTCATACGTATTAAGGAAAAGCAACTTATAGATGGAACCTGTTTCATATTGTTGTAAATTTTGATTAGGGATGAATGATGGATGGATTTCCTCTAATAAAAATAGTTTATAATATGGGTTACTAGTTACCTTCTTTAGTTTGATACTAAACCCCCTGCATCTCCTTGTGCATGTGAGAGTCTTAGTATGTTTCTCTCTATTTTGAGCTTAATATACATATAATATATGCAGGTTCTGCACGACTGGACTTCCTAGCGATATTGTTGTTGAAGTTGGAGAAATGTCCTTTCATCTTCACAAGGTAACATTTGCTTTCAACATATAGTACTTGATTCTGATGTATGTGTGCTTGCTGGGTAATGACCCTCAGGGACTTGTTGAAATTCACTGAATTTAGTATGTTTTATCAAATCTTTCCACACACGTCTACTAGCTTCTTAAAAAATAAAGATAAAAATCCCTTCCCATGCCCCCCACCATCTTTCTGAGACCTTATGTATTAGTTTCTCATGAGTTGAGATTTGTCAGTTTTCCTCTATTTTCATTGTTTTCCTTTTAAGGATGAGCATTAAAGTCCTTTGCATAAGCTTGTAATTACCTTTTGCCACTAATTTTTATGCATGGTGAAATGAAGTGTCTATTGCCAAATAACTGTAAATCTTATGGTTCTTACTTGTCTTAACTCTTATTTGGTGCAGTTCCCTTTACTCTCTAGAAGTGGGGTTATGGAAAGATTAATTGCAGAAGCATCTGAAGAAGGGGAAGAAAAATGTTCCATAAACCTCCCTGACGTTCCTGGTGGGGCCAAAACTTTCGAACTTGTGGCCAAGTTCTGCTATGGGGTGAAACTTGAACTCACTGCCTCAAATGTTGTGTACCTTCGATGTGCTGCTGAGCACTTAGAAATGACTGAGGAATATGGGGAGGGCAATCTTATTACGCAGACTGAAACCTTTCTTAATCAAGTAGTCCTCCGAAATTGGAAAGACTCTCTAAGAGCACTTCAAACTTGTGATGATATTATCTCTCATGCTGATGAACTAAACATTACAAAAAGGTGCATTGAGTCACTAGCCATGAAAGCATCTACTGACCCCAACCTATTTGGGTGGCCTATCATGGAACATGGTGGTCCTATGCAGAGTCCTGGTGGAAGTGTGTTGTGGAATGGGATAAGCACAGGGGCTAGACCAAAAAATACAAGTTCAGATTGGTGGTATGAGGATGCATCAACTTTAAGTTTACCTCTCTATAAGAGATTAATCGCGGTCATGGATTCTCGTGGCATTAGACAGGAAATTATTTCTGGGTCTCTTACTTTTTATGCCAAAAAGTACCTACCTGGTTTGAACAGGCGTCAGGGTGCTAATGACTCTAATTCTAGTGCCCGTCTTGCACCTGTGGCTTTAGGGGCTGCTCCATCAGAAGGAGATCAGAAGCTTTTGCTGGAGGAGATTGATAGGTTACTTCCTATTCAAAAGGGCCTTGTCCCAACCAAGTTTCTCTTCGGACTGCTTCGAACAACCATGATTCTTCGAGCAAGCCCCTCTTGTATATCTAACTTTGAGAAAAGGATTGGGATGCAGCTTGATCAAGCAACTCTGGAAGATCTACTGATGCCTAATTTTTCTTATTCCATGGAGACACTTTACAATGTTGACTGTGTGCAGCGAATTCTTGAGCATTTTCTTGCCATGGACCAGATTACTGGTGGAGCCTCTCCATGTTCAGTTGATGATGGTCAGATTATTGGCTCACCTTCATTAACACCAATTACAATGGTAGCCAAGCTAATAGATGGGTACCTCGCAGAGGTTGCCCCTGATATTAATTTGAAGCTCCCTAAGTTTCAGGCACTTGCTGCTTCTGTTCCTGACTATGCCAGGCCCTTGGATGATGGTCTATATCGTGCAATTGACATTTATCTGAAGGTACTACCACTAACCACTTAGTGCACGTAATTGCTACTGATGTTGTTTTGTTCAGTTTGATATGCTTCATATATTGCTGCAACCGGTTCAATAAGCCAAGAACCTCGCTGCAGTTGTGCCCAAGTACAATAGTCGTATCTCTTAACCTCAGTCCAAGTTGACCGTAGAGTCTATCCAGAGATGTTTTGAGAATGATGTGATAGCTTTAACTTGGATTGGGATTCCCATTATGCAAAGAGATTAAGTTGTCAATTCAAAGATGTTCTATCCTTGGTTCTTGGTCGGGGTCATTTTTTCTGGCATTTTAACCTAAGTTGCTTTTATCTTCGTGTCTGCTTGAAACAAAGTTAATGGGCCCAAAGGCCAATTCTTATATGCATGGATTAGATGGGAGCTTGCAAATGTGTTAGAGCAAAAATTTGCCCTGCTCTTAATATCAAATTATTTGATCTTAGAGAAGGAAAAATAAAATGAAATACAGAAAAGCAAGCTTGAACCTCTTGATTCTTCATGCTATAAATTTTTTCAAAGTTGTTAATTTTTCCATGCTTATCAACTTGCAGTCACACCCATGGTTATCAGAATCTGACAGAGAACAGCTATGCCGGCTGATGGACTGCCAGAAGCTCTCCTTGGAAGCATGCACCCATGCTGCACAGAATGAGAGACTACCACTAAGAATAGTTGTCCAAGTCCTGTTCTTTGAGCAGCTACAGCTTAGGACATCAATTGCTGGTTGCTTTTTGGTTTCTGATAATCTTGATGGATCACGACAGTTAAGAAGTGGGTTTGCAGGGTCTACTGAAGGAGGCTGGGCCTCAGCTGTGAGAGAAAATCAGGTTTTGAAGGTAGGCATGGATAACATGAGAATGCGGGTTTCTGAGCTTGAGAAGGAATGTTCGAACATGAGGCAAGAAATTGAGAAGCTAGGTCGGGGGAAGGGTTCTAGCACTTGGGGAAATGTGTCAAAGAAATTTGGGTTAAGGTTGAAGTCTCAGATGTGCAGTGCTCAGGAGGGTTCTGTTAGTAACCAGAATAATGGAAGTGGAAAGATTGAGAAAGTGAAGGACCGGCAAGGAAAGCACAAGAAAAACTCAACTCCAGATGGGTAAGACTATTGTTTCTTTTTTACTTTTTTCATCCTTTTTCTCTCCTTGTTTTTGGAGTTGTTATTGTTTAGTTGTATTTTAAACTTCGGAAAAACTAGGTTCCCACCTTTGATCTCATCTTTAACTGTGTGCCATACCCTCTTTTTCTTTTTTAACTATTTTGGAGACAATGGAAGAAAGTGTAATTTAATTTGTTTCATGTAATAATCCTGAAGCTTCCTCTCCCTCTCTGACATGTCCGAGGCACTGCCCTCACTGTGTGTATATCTCAGATTAGTGAGAACCATTGGGATTCTTCTTTCTAGTTATTGGTTGGATTGTTGATTATGTGAGGTTGAATATAAGATGTTGGACATTCTTACTTGTTTCTAGTTGTTATTGGTTGTTGGATTGTTGATTTTACAAGCTCTGCTTGACGACATTATACTAAAAGATTCTTATGTATTGAATGTTTGGTAAGGTATGGAATGACACCATGGATGGGAAACTGGTGGGAGCAACACTGTACACCAGTAATCCCAAAGGCACACACTCCCTCTCCTCTTCTTAACAAAACTATTATCTATCCATTTTTCTTTGGCTGAGGGGATACCTTGAATCATCACTCGTCCTTTACATGGCCACCTTGTCACTTTTTGCATCCACAAACAGTAAAGCCCAAATGTGCCAAATTGGAAATTGGTCCAACGTTGACAATGCTTCTAACCATGTGCATTAAATACTCAGCGCCTCTTGTGCAGAGTCTTTAAAATCTGGTGGCTGTGAGCAGTTTCATTTAACCAATGGTCCTCATCCTACAAAACTATAGCAATTATATATATAAAATTTAATTTAAAGTTAGATTGAACTTAAAATGTTATTGAAAAATAGACAACTTTGTCCATTTTTATTCATTTAAAATTTGTTGATATGAGTTAAGAGTTTTAGTTATGATTAAATTATGTCAACATGACTCATAACATAACATCATGATTAATACTGTTAAAACCCTATCAACTCAAACATCCAATTGTCTCCCATTCATGATCTTAGTGGTAACATGATTCATTCAAAATGCCTTCCATGCATATCTCGGCTACGCAGAGAAGGCCTAAATGTGAAAGTTTTAATATACTCTGTGGTGAAGTTAATGAAGAGCACATCCAAAAGCCATTAACCAGTTGATGCCTTCATAAAGAAGCAACAGAAACACAATTCATTTTTTTTTCTAATCAAAGGAGAATTATGAATACAAATATGAAACTGCACTGATATAATTTTTGAGTACACTTTCTAATTATTATTATTATTTTTTATTTTTAGAAATTTGTGATTGATTGAAGAAACTGATGCCGAAATGAGTCCATTAGTCGCAAACTATGCATATATTGTACTGCACAAAGCTTAAAGCAATAAGCTCTTTGGAATAAGAAATCTGCTCTCCGATCTTAGAGCTTTACTTCTCTGCCAAAAATCCAACTGAATGGGATACTTGGTGCTCACTTAGACCTTGCTTGAGCTCTCTCCTCTACCCTTCTAATTCTTGGAGCAAGTAGACAAACATATTCCTGAGCCTTTCTTCCCTCAGCTGAAAGTCCTGTTAGCTCCTTAACTTTCCATCCATCCACCAAGAACTCTAGTATATCAGCATAATCATTGGCAGTGTAAACCCCAAGTCTTTGTGCAACAGCAGAGAAATGCTCGAAAAGGTTATGGTCATGATCATCATACATAAGATGGGCTGGCATTGTGATCTTCTTCCTCATCATCTCAGCAAAAGCAACAACAGTTCCGTCAGGATCAATTTCAAAGAGCTTTTCAACTATTTTACTGTAGGAAATCTCATGGCGTTTTTCATCTGATAAAACTGTACCACATATTTGAGCTAACTTAGAATCCCCATGTTCCATGGCAAGCCTAGCTGTATTCCTATGGGAGATGAAAGTTGCCCTTTCTTGGAATGAAGTGTAAATGAAAGTAAGATAAGGGTTCTTCTCTATTCCAGGGTACATTCCTGATCCAATCAAATATTGGATTGTCTTCTCAACCTCTCTCATGTCTACTCTTCCGGACAAGTAAAGATACTTGTTTAGAAGCTCTCCATGTCTGTTCTCTTCAGCTGTCCATGCCCTTGTCCAAATTGCCCAAGAAGTGAGACTTGCACCCGTTTCATCACGAACTCCATCCAAGGTATTAAGCAATGTTTGGTAAGTTGGAAGAGCTTCTTCAGTGATCATATCTCCAACCAAGTAGACAAAATAATCATCTGGGATCTCCATTGCTCTCTTCCTTAGTTCCTTAACTTGCTCCTCAAATCCATCAGAGGCAGCATCTGGGAGAAAAGCTTGTGGTTGCCAACTATTTTCAACAGGTTTCAGCAAGGTTAGAATGTTGTTCTCAACCCAACCGTCCGTAGATTTAAAGATTTCAATCTTTTGTTGTGGGATGGAGTGAGTAACTTGAACAAGCACTTTCCCATGAGGCATAAAAGATTTCTTGGAATTCTCAACCTTTAATTGGCCGCTTGAAGGAAAGTTTGAGGCCATGAAGAGCTTGGGAGATTTGAGGCTGGCTATTGGTTGAAGAGCAATGTAAGGCAGGTTTTGAGATTGACTCAATTTGATGAGAGCCATTTTGCTTTCCTTGTAGGGTGTAGAGGGGGTTCTTGTGATAGGGTGAGGAAGTGTTGCAAAAATATGTAAAGATGCATAGTTTCTGAAGTACTAAGTGTTGTGAAAATGAAAGAGAATAAGAAGAAAATAGGGAGTAGAGAGATTAGAGATAATTTAGAGAAAGCAGCTTTGGAGGAGAATGTTTTAGCTACCGGAAAAGAGAAGTCTCGAAATGAAGGTTGTATATATAGTGCCAAAAGTGATGGTTACAAAAAAGGCTTTAACACACATAATAAATGACTTTATAAGAAAAGTTTAGTTTGGATAATTGTATTGAGAGTTAAATTGAGTAATGTTAAAACCTATATGTGACATTGAAATAATTAGATTGATAAGATTGTTCTTAGTGAGATTCAAAGAGAGAGGAACACGTGAAAAGTTGTAAGAGAAAAGGACGTAAAGTAAGAACTGTACGTGAACATTATAAGAGAAGAAGGTGTATTTGAATAAGTATATGAGAACAAGGTAAAAGGGAAGCACTTTATTTCAAGAAAAAGTCAAGAAGAAGCTTTTTAAGTCATCAAGTTAAACTCTCTGAAATATCCTAAGATGAAAGTTACTCATAAACCTGACACTATTTTGAGTTATTTTTACTATTACTTGGGAAGTGATTTTTTTAATGTGAAATAATTATTCTACTTGATTAGTTGTTCCTTATAAAGTATATTTACTTATTTTGCTTGTTCTCGTGAAATATCCTTCACTTACTTTAGTTGTTATCATGAAATAACGCTTCACTTGTTTATCGTTGAAATAATGTTTTACTTATTTTGTTTATTCTTTTCTAAAATTATGTTGTTAAAATAATTTTTAAAAATAAGTATTAACTAAAATCAAGTATCTACTTAGAGTTTTAGTCTTGTTCAAATTTGGAAGCTTTTACTCTCAAACGATGGACTTTTTTTTTTTAATGAAATGAATGCCTTTCAAAAAATAAAAATAAAGCGCTAACAAGTTTATAATTGAAGGCAAAGGAGTAGGATTTGGTTTTGGGTTAGTCAAATGGATCAAATTAACCTTATTTCATCTCACTCCCAACTTTACTGTAAATAGATTATGAAAGCATTAATTGATTTCATATAATTATACCAATTTTATTTTTTACTTCATTTTGTCCTAAACCAATCAACTATTTCTAAGAATGCATAAACCAATATAATTTAATCCCTTGGATCTTAAACAATGAAAACAACCTAAATCATTTTTACACCGCATACTATAATATAGTGTGATTGTACAAAATATAATTATAAAGAATGTAATTTTTAAGAAGATAATATTATAGCCTTTGGTGTATATATATATAAGTGCTAAGTAAAATAACAAAAAGATAATAGTGCAACTTTGGTTTACATGCCATTCGTTAAGAACATGATATTAAGAATTAACCTTATGTATGAAAATACAAATTTAATATATTTGTAAATTTTTTTAAAGAAAATTTTTTTTATATGTTTTTAAATACTAATAAATAACAATTGTTATTCCATTCCATAAATTATGCCATGAATGAAAATAATAATAATAATGGCAAATCAATTTTTTTTTTACATTGCCAAGCAAGTGGAAAAGTAATATTACAGTGGTTTTGCAATGCAATCTGATTTCTTCTAATGAGTGTAATGTGATTGTAATATATTACATCCTTTGAAGTAATGGATTATTATTTGCATAATATCTAATTTTTTTTTAAATAAATATAAATATTTTTATTATATTTTATTAAATTTTTATATTTTTATTGTATCAACACCAAAGTTATCGGTAATCAAATCTGCTTTCAATTATTAACATTATCAACAGACTAGACAACACACAATGCCCACTTGCTTCCATTAAATGTGATGTCCACCCTTTATCAACTATAACTTTGTCTTACCTTGGAGGTCAGCTCATTCGGTGCCCTCTTAAGGAGGTGGAGGTGAATGTAATGTACAGAATGAGTACGTAAAACTTTACAAGCTTCAAGTGAAGGTTATAGAATGTTTAGGATGAAATCACATGTTGTATTACAATTTACACATACATTGATAAATAAGAAATAGTTACATTCATTTAAAGATATGACAACATTGGATGCGATCATTATATTTCTTTGAATTCGTGCACCCAACAAAATAAATTATAATATCCAAAATAAATTTAAAAAATTGAGAAAAATTATAAGTAAAAAATTAGATGAAGTGTTAGATAATTTATGTTTACTAACTAATGAAATTATCGAGGTTCAAATTTTCAATTTGTAAAAGTTCCAATCAAAATTAAAAGTGATAATAGATATTGATTTTATTTTCAAGGATGCATTAGTGCTATATATGGATCATATGTTCATATTATTCCTCTTGCAAATGATCGAATTCGTTTTATTAATCGAAAGGGATATTTAATACATAACGTTATATTAATGTGTAATTTTAACATGCTATTCATTTTTGTGATTATTGATTAACCTAGCACTGCACGTGACACTTGTATCTTTTCAATTGCGATTAAAGAAATAAAATGTGTTCTACCATGAACTAGAAGGTACAACTTATCATTGTTATGATATAAAGTATATCATTCTATATATATTTATTTTTTAAAATTTTTTAATGAATTAATACTTAAACCTTTATCATTTTTCTTAAGTAAAGATTATTTAGTGTATACTGTTTATCTTAAAATGAAAAGATATCTAGCACCTTATAAAGTTAAAAAATATCACATTCTTGATTTTAGATGTCGCAGTTAGTTAGAATGTGCAGAAAAAACATTTAATCATGCACATTTTTCATTAAGAAATATCATTGAATAAACAATTGAAGTTTGGAAGAATAAATGGCATATTTTATATGATATGAAGTCATTTTTATTGAGAAAACAGGAAAAAATTATTGTTACAACAATGACACTTTATAACTACATTAAACAATGTTATGTTATAGATACAGAGTTTGACAAATGTTATTGCAATTCCAATTATATTTAAGAGAGTCAAGATAAATGAAATGGGTAGAATTCATGCGTTTATGTGTCAATAGAAAAATATTAAATGATAATTACATACGTAGAATTCGCAACCAAATAATTACTACGTTGATGAAAAATAAAATTTATTGATTTGAGTTAATTATGAATTATATATTGCTTATAAATTATTTGTGAAGCTCTTTTTTTATAATTTATTATTAATTATAAACTTTATGTTATATAAAATTACTTTTTATATTTTTAAAAATTTATTTTAAATAAATAAAAAAGTTAATTTTTTTTCATTACGAGGCAAAGAATTAATCATTAATAGAAAGTTATTTATTGCATATCTTTTGTAATAATTTTAACCAAAATTAAAACTTGTATAATTTGCTTTGTTAAATAGCTTATTTATATAAAAAAAATTTATAAAAATAAATTTACCAATCAGTTTTAATTTAATTTTAAAAGCTATTATTTTTCATAAGTATAAATTGTTTTGACAAACAACATATCTATAAAAAAGAGATTATAAAAATAAATTTATCAAATAATTTTAATTTAATTTTAACAATTATTATTTTTCATAAAAACTTTTAAACTAAGAAAAACCAGACCAAACATGCTCTTGACGAGGGGTTTTGATCTGATTTTGGCAGGAAACTCACAATTTTGGTTTTGTTTGATTATTAACATCATGAAAAAACTTCAGAATCATGAACTTTTCAAAGCTGATAGTGCTTCCTTCGTTGTAGCCGAGATTACAACATCTGAAGCATTTGGCAAATAATAATACTTCCCTGCAAGACAATAATTTTATTACTTACATTTCAAATGCATGGCAAATAATTTCAATGGACGCACCTTGAGCTACTCTTGCAATTTCCTTGGCAAATCCAGTGGAAACAAACTTGTTTTCTGTGTCGATGACAAGAAGGGACATTCCTGCTTTGTATATTTTCCCAGCCACTTCAAGAATCTCGTCCTGCAGTATTTGTATACATAAAATCGCATTAGAACAACTTCGTCAAACCCAGATAATATTCTGAAACCTTCATGTGTACCTTTCCGCTCATATCACTAATAAATTAATCAAGGGTTCAAACAGAAAAGATCATGGCTCCATTAGATTTACAAACCTAGATAATATTTAGGGATGGTCATATTGCTATTATGTCCAGTAAAAGCCTAAAACAGAGGCTCCATTAACATTGTAGCAATTATATTTGGCTCAATAGCAGCAGCTACAGTCACCGTGCTACTTGCTAGTTGCAGTGCCATAATTTACCTTCAATTCTTGTGCTGATGGTCTAGGGGCATCGGAAGTAGCAGCTTCTGGGTCAGTGGATCTTTTCAGTGATATGTTGGCTCTGCCATCGGTTATTGCAACAATCATTACACGTCCCACATCACCACTTTTCTCTGCATTTAGCCCAACCCTGACAGCCTAACCATTTAAAGTTTATAAAGGAATTAGAAAAGGAAACTCTGAATCTGTATCAAATTATGCACTGAAAGGAATTTCATAGACAAGCTCAGGAATCACAGAGACATGCATAATGAGGCAACAATATTACAAACAGCCATGATGTAAAAGTCACTAACTACAAGTCAAAATGACAGATAGCACATGCGGAATAGTACGGCAGGGACAGCCATTATGCATGTCACTGAATACAAGCTATAGTGAATCGTTTTGGTACAATCTGTGCCAGAAATTGAGGGATTCAGTATATATACATACCATGCTTAAACCATGAGCTAGGGGAGAGCCACCACCACATGGAAGTCTCTCAAGACGTTTTCTTGCCATTGCAATTGATCTGGAAGGAGGCAGAAGGACTTCTGCAGCATCTCCACGGAAAGGTATAATGGAGACCTACTCAACATTACCAGAAAATAGAACCATATTAATAATCCAGAAATATTCATGATGCTTTCATTACATCAGTTTTAATGGTTTCATTTTTGCTGAACACTTATGTGCATTAACGAATCCCTTAATATGAATTAACAACTAGCAACGTTTGTATGCTAGGAAGTTCAGAATAAAATTGTCTCTAGTTTACCTGATCTCTGCTTGTATAACTCTCAGCCAGTAACTTAAGTGCAGCACCTTTAGCATTTTGCATTCGGTTCAATGCCATGCTCCCACTTGCATCAACCACAAATATTACCTGACACGAAACATATATGCTATGAACTCAAGCATAAGACAAGTTTTCATTAGTATTTAAATCGAATTTATTTTACTATCTTCCTGCCTCATCGAGTGGCATGGTTAATAATTGAACCAAAGCCAAAGGCGTAGATCCTAGTTAACACAATTTGCTTGAGCAATCTTCCCACATCAAATTTACTTTGATCATTATGCCTAAATAATCTGTAGGCATTCAGCTTCTTATAAATTAATTCTTTTATACTTCATGGTGAATACTGATAAATTTGGGATATTACTAATTTCTATGTGTTAGTCGATGCCAAAGGAACTTTAGCAACTTTTATCATCAAACCTCCTGTTAGATTATATAGTAAAAAAACCGTAAAGTAAACAGAACAATGAAATACATAGAACAAGCAGAAGTTATTTCTTGATAAATACATAAAATTAATAATAGAAGTAAGAAACAGAAGTAGCTCATGATACCAATGCTCCTGCTTTTCTTGCCATTCTTTTAGCCCTCATGTCAGTTTTCTCCACAAAAACTTTCCTAGTTTTTTGAATGTCTCTCTCCCTACGCAACTTTTGATATGGTGCAGCAGCTCTAAGTGTTGCATCAACAGCTAGTCTCTTCACAGGACCCTGTGGGGTAAACAATGCAGCTTATTCCAAAAATGAAGTTAAGAGTGGGCAAAAATAATGCATAGAAGATAGGAAAGGGTGAAGAAGATTGCTAATTCACCAGCCCATTTTGAGATTTCAACACCCTATTGGCAAAACAATGCATTCAATGATACGATAAATTTACTAGTCAGTTAAAGTAAGGCAAAACAGTAAATAATATATGAATAAATAAAGAGGACGCGTGGTGTAAAAGAATTAGAGAAAGGGGAGAAAGTAAGCAGATTCTGATAGGGACAGATCTAGCAAAAGGAAGAAAATTAACAGGCCTTGTGAGAAATGTTATACCCTTCATTGGGTTACACACAAAATATTGGAAGTTTGGCTTGCAAAATATAATATTTTTAACATTCATTATATACTTCGAAAATATTTTGAATGAAGAATCTAGGAAGTTTTGGAAGCTATTGGCATCCAGCCCCTTTATCTAAACTTGCAGGGTTCAGGGAAGGGACAATACGAACCTTCGGGAGCATTGGTTTAATATATCGGCCTCTATCCTCTGAGAATATAACATTCTTCGCTCTTCCAGCCTTCCCTCGTCGCCTCTGTGCTTGTTGTGCAAAGAAAAGTAGTTTCTCATCCACCAAACCCCCTTCCGCATCAATAATAAATTCTTCAGGTATTTGCTCTTGCTGTTGCTCATTCTCTTGATCACTGTCATCCTGGTTGCACACAAAGCCTTGCATTTTAAGTAGACTTCACTAGTAAAATTGTTTATTTTAAAATAGAATATACGATGATAGCCACGTCCTCAAGGAGAAGGATTTTGCAGATTTTAGTTGATTCTAAACAACAATTCCTCCTGATGTTGAAATCTTAATGTTAACAAACCTCTTGATCTTCCTCCTCATTTTGCTCCTCCCCAGATTCTTCATTTTGTGGAGGTGGAGGTGGAGGTGGAGGCTGTTGGTTTTGTTGATCTGGTGGGTTCTCATTTATAATGGAACGAGGAAGGATGACAAGCTCCACCTGTATTGGATAACATGTCAACACAAATTTATTTGTAAGGTTTCCAATATTCTGCTTTTATGATGCAGACAAAAACCAGCAGGTACATCATGAAGCAGATACTTTTTCCTTTTTAACGTCAATATTTCTTCCCAACCACCCACCAAAGAGAGAGAGAGAGGAGGAGAGATGAAAAAGTATATATTATACTCCAAAATAGGAATTTAATCAAGCAGATATTTAAACCAGTAATTAGCAGATATATTAGCAAAACATGCAACGCCACAAAGGAGTATCATATGTCCCTCAAGTGTGAAACAGACATATGGTCAAAAGTTGGCTGCAACTAGGAAAGGGCAGAAGTAACAACACCATATTGCATAACAAGCAACAAGAGGCAAGATTTGCTCTAAGATTTTGGAAATCAATCAGAAACATATAAAGAGGAGGTCTGGTGATGAATGGCTGTAAAAATTTGTTGCACATGTTCTCTAAACAGGTGAATGGAAAGTGTTAGTATCTAGTGCATCTGCACAATCACTGAGCAAAATCATAGTAGGAAAACTTAACAGCTTTTTTCAGGTCATCCACAGTGACTCTTTCACGCCCTTCCAAAGCAGCCAAGCATTTTGCAACCCGAGCAGCATATAGCTCAGCTCTGTGTCCCTGTGAATCATTTGAGTATAGTTATTTTTCCATACCTTGATTAAAATAATATCTTCCTATCCATCAAACAATCTTCAATTAAAAAAAATCTGAAAATTAATTATCAGGAAAACACAGTATGCACCAATCTTAACCTTTGCTATGTTCTTAAACTACAAAAACCATCATACCCTCATCTTTTGCTTAAGAATGGCATGTATTGGCAGCAACATTTGCCATTTTTCTTAATGGTTTCAGTTCTTAAAGGTGATCCCCTACAGTGATATTGTCCCCTACTTATTCTTTGCTAGTCTCTGACAGAAGTTTTATTGTGTTGTTTTTCTCTTTCTCCATCTATTGTGCTTGAACAATACAAAGTGCTCCTCCGCTATATGTCCATCCAAATAGCCATGTTTTAAACATTCTACATTTCTTAAATCCTCAGACTCTACTACAAGAAAATCAGTGATGTTTCTTTCACAAATATAATCACTCCAAAGGATCTTCCAGTGATCCCAAGTCAATTTGTAAATTTGAGCAACTACACAGATTAATATGAAGCGTAGTGACGATTCCAAGTCCCTGACAAGAACTTAAGGAGCAGCACTCATAACTAAAACATTAGATTTTCCCAATAAAAATATCACTACAACCTTGTTCCCAGGAGGGAGCTAGAAGCAAAGAACTATTTGCCTAAAGCTTTTGAGATTGGATACTGATGGCTTCAGCTCAGTCAGCTTCTAGACATGTGGGACACTGATTCCTCATCAACTGAGAGAATTTTTGGGAGTTACAGCATAAGAGGATTGGGAAGGGACAAGTTAGTGTAATTTTTGTTATCCAAAGTGGTTGGAAAATAAAAACCATGCAAAATGTATCTCAGCACCTGGCAACCACCTCGAAGGGCTTCCATAACCAGGTACTTTAATTGTTCTCGGCTGATTGTAACATCCTTCAAATACTCTCTCGCTAAAATGATCTGCGAATAATAAATGCACAAGAGACAAACAATATTCATCCTTCTGCATAACAATGTACCAGAACAACCAAATTTCAGATACACATTAAATTAACAAAGGTTAGGGTTGAGAAGCAAGTTCAATTACTAGCAAAACTTAATGGTAATCATGCAGCTGAACTGCTGAAAAAATAAGGCGATATCAAAGTCATTAAACTTTACCAGCCAAATGTTGCCATTTCAACTACTTACAGTACATTTTAGGATGAACTGCTCCCCTTGAAAAAAAATTTTGAATCCTAACAGAGGACTTTTAAGGGGTTTTCATTCTATATATACCTATGTTACAGGCAATAACTATTTGAACTATATAGCACTAAAGCCCACAAATATCGTAGAGAAACTTTCATGAAATGGACATAGAGATTTATACTTTTTCCCCATTAACTTACAAAAAATAACCGTCGAACTTTTTTCTATATAATTAAGAGGTCAATGTTTGTCAATATTAAGAAAGGTTGACCGAGTTTATACAGTGGAAAATAGTCCTTGAGTGTTCTGGGGTACTATTTATAGTTAAAAGATGATGAAGCAAGGGCCATTACATTGCAAAGGACTCAACATCTTGAACTTTTCTTGGTCTATGAACAATACGTTGAATTTGAGCACTTTATTACATGCACAAGCTTTTGGGCATAAATGGATGAAGTATATACATTAGAGCAAATGATTTCTTTCATACAGAAATTTTTTTAAAGTCAACTCTTAAAGCTTTTGCAATCATCTCTCATTCTGACGAAAGGTGGGTTTTTAGGAAAGCTCATCCTATCACTAGATTCAAAATCTGACTTAAAAACAAGCCATCAATGCCTTGTTACCTGAGTCTTAGCATACTCTGTTTCTTCCCCAACCATTTTAAAAACTTCATCGCTAGCTTCCTGAAATTGTGTTGCAATTCCAACTGCTGCAACACGATCTTCAAAACTCATTGGAAGATCTGCACTGCAGAGCAAGTATGCCATTAATAGAATGGGAGGTATATGTAAAAGCTAAGAACCCCATTCCATCATCTATAAACAAAATCTGTACCTCAAGTTAATTGCAATACGATCTAATAAATGTTCTCGTACAGCACCCTCTTCTGGATTATAAGTAGCAATCAAGAGAGGTTTGCAAGGGTGCTTGAAGCTGATTCCCTCTCTTTCCACAATATTAACTCCTTCGGTCAGTACATTAAGAAGCAAATTACTAATGCCCTCATCAAGAAGATTAATTTCATCGACATATAATACACCTCTGTGTGCTTCAGCCAGAAGGCCTGGTTGAAAAACAGTTGTTCCTGATTTCACAGACTCCTCAACATCAACAGATCCAATGAGTCTGTCCTCCGTGACTCCAAGTGGAATCTGGAGCAAGAGTGGACTGGGTATTTAAACAATAAAAACAAGCTCAACATCAAAGGTTTTCTTGCAAGAAATGTACCTGAACAAAAGGAGATCTGACAACTTGAGTTTTAACATTGCCATCAGAATCATATTCTGCTTGCTGAACTAAACCATCTTCCCACCTTCAGAATATAATGAGGACCAGGTCACTATCTTTAAAGGAATGAAAATGCAAAACTATTTTTGAATCAATTAGCCTCATATCTATTATCACAAAATCGGTGCAGTCTCAGTTTTTCAAAAGTTACAAGAGCTTAACTCAGAAGTTCTAGAGAATTCTTCTAGCAGCAGAACATGGATTAACAATTCAAAGGAATATTGATATATTCTCAGCAGGGACTGTAACAGCCACAATATGGAGAAAAAATAAAAAAAATTAAAATGACTCTTGATCTTAGAAATTCATGTGTGTTTTTTCATGACCCTAACAATATAATGTACAAACTTATGTAGGGACAAATTCATTTCCAATTAAGAAAAACTAAAGTACTAATGTGATTATAACTGGCAAGAGTTCAGTGCTCGTACTCCTCTGGGCAGGCTGGATCTGCATTTGCTATTGAACCAACAACTACATCAATGGGTGGCAAAATTGCATGCAACCCACGTGCCATCACTGTCTTGGCTGTTCCTCGCCTTCCCGAGATAGCAATCCCTCCAATCTCACGATCAATAGCCCCAAGTAAAAGTGCAGTTTTAACGGCATCCTGTGACAACGGTTAATCAAGGGTCAGATATGGGTAAGCATTTGACAAATGACTATATTCAATTTTTTTCAAATCCGTGTCCACTATTAAGCCTCCCAAATAAAGAATCAGAGTAATAAAACACATACTAAAGTAAAATTTCCATTAAACTAAGAACCTCTAAAATTTCAACTAAAACCACGTGACATTACTTCATCAACACATACAAAATCAATGACCCATTTTTTACTGCTTCTAAAGCACTTCCTTCCTTCCATAATATAACAAATGAGAGAGAGAGAGAGAGAGAGAGAGAGAGAGAGAGAGAGAGAGAGAGAGAGAGAGAGAGAGACAGAGACTCGGCAACAACAGCAGCCAAAGGGAAGTACTGTCTTCCATAAGAATAGGAAGAGGGATCTTCAGCGGCAATGACTGCCCCATTGCTTGAGTTTACCGTAGCATTTGAAGTAGCAAGAACACGGCGAAAGCGACTGCTGCTGTAACTTTGAAAGCGTTTCTTCGGGTTCAAACAAGAAGAAGAAGGGAAGAAGAGAAAGGGGTATGGCTTGAACAGGATAGAGAACGATTGAAGCTGAGACAGAGAAAGAGCAGAACAAGTAGAAGGCGTAGCTGAAAAAGCCATTGGTTTTAACAAAAGAAAAAAATTGGAGAGAAAGCAAAACTTGTTGGGTTGCTTCTTATCCCTTGTTACGTAATCTCGTAATCTAATCTTTCTCCCACTGTCTACTGCGACCCTTTTAACTGTTTGTTGCCTTGCTCTTTTTTAATCCCACGCGCTGCGTCCACAGGCGTATACAGCACATTCTTTTTTTTTGTTTTTTTATTTAAATAAATAGAAGGTGACATCCTGAGCCAATGGACACCAAAGGTGTCTGCTAACAAAAGTAAAGAAAATGTTTTCAGGAGGAGAATCAAGAAAATGAAATCCTAGACTTAAATCTTCATGATGAGTGATCGTTCAGTCGACACACTGACTGATGTTAAACTATATTCTATATTCTTATTTAAACACTGTCGGATTGATTTCACGAGTTGAATATTAGGCTCCAAATCATTGTCCTGGTTCCTTATTTTTTGCAATGAGTCTGTTTTCACTTGTGACCTTTTGACCAACACACCTACAACCCATAATAGATTGCCCAAAGTTACCGCTGTCAGAGAGGAAACCTGTCAACCATGCACCAGTTGCATCTCTAAGCAGTCCACCCGCTGCCGCTAATCCTGGTTGCCCTCTAGCACTACCATCGATATTCACCTCTAGGTTTTCTCCAGCTAACCATTATTTCTGTTTGATCCTTTGGTGTAAAATGTCCCTGGCTTCTTAGGCTTTTGATCATATAATTTGCTCTCCATTATAAGGCCAAGATTGCGCCAGAACCGAAAACACCATAATGAGTAAATAAATATGGGATTTCTTTTATGCAAGAACTGCGAACTCTGCATGTCGGTCGGCATCCAACCTGGTAAATCCTGCTCAAAAAACTCGCTATCCTATTCGCCAGGCCTGGATTGATAGCTAGCCACATCTGTTTAACTCTGCTGCAGTCACGCAAAACATGAGCTAAATTCTCTTCGGTTGACCCACAACATGAGCAGGTAGACGAAGATAATAATCCTCTCTTTGTCAACCAAGGAGCAGTTGGTAAAGAATCATGCAGCAATCGCCAGATAAGGTTGAATGGACCGATGAACTGCAACCACCAGTCTTGGTATGACTAACACTACGTAGTCGTAATGGATTTCCTTCCACCGCTCAGAAATATTTTCACAAATTTATTTCAAAATTTGTTTCTCCCCCTTGCAAAAAAAGGAAGAATAAGCATATGATAATGCTTTAATCTCATTCAAACCAATGTACATAATTTTCATATTGATCATTTACAAGTATAATACATAAAAATATTAGTACTATTTTATAAATATATTAGTTAAAATAAGGAAAACAAAAAACAAACAAGGAAAATTTTAACGAAGAACAATTGCTACCATAGTAGCATTCAGGTCAGTTGCTTATACGTGCTTCCTTGTCTTGTCTTGAACGAGACCCACCTGTTCAAAGCCAAAACAAACAAATAACTTTAGTACTTGGAAATCACAACATGCTACAAAAATTCAGTCGATCCCAGCCCCTTCAACAAGTTCACCACCCATTACCTCTATGAAGCAAAAACCTTCAAACATCCAACACCCCTTTTGTGATCTAATACAATACAAATTACCACGCTAGGCTCACACGTGTTCCACCTATCTTATTAATATAACACACATTGTCAATAAAACTAAATAAATAATACAAATGCTAAATTGCATATGATATTTCTTTCGAAAAATCAAAAGTGAATATGTATTGTAATAACTTTTAAATACCTTGCACTCACAAGTGGTTCCCCGAATCATTGGTCCCTAGGCAAAATCAAGGTAGCAATGTAGTCAAGAGATCTTCATCATGGTAAATTTCAGTCCCCCACCTGGTGATGGCACCTACAACAACAATAGTCTTTTCATATAAAACATAGTACATGTCAAATTAAATTCATTTGGAATGAAAACCTATTGGAAGAAATTCATCTTGTTCAACATACCCCACAAAAGAACCACAGGATGAGATTCATGAGAAGATTTAAGAAACAAATGCCTAAAGATCCTCATTACTAGATAAGGGCAGGGTACAGAGGGAGGGCTCTAAATCTCTCAGTGCTTCATTGTCTTCCAAACAACTACCCCACTCTTCCTCCCACCCCCCCCCCCCCCCCTTTTTTTTTTTTTCTAAAAGCACAAACAAAAAAAAAGGAAAGAACGCCATACAGAGAACAAATATAATTAATTTTGACCAGATTTTACATCATTATCTACAAGAATTGTAGGAAAAAACTTGCAACAATGCAGAAGGTATTACATATCGGCTACTAATCATGCTATAACACATTGCAAGCTTGTTCTTTGATACAATCCTAACTTACGACACATTGACACCAGAAATCATGCATTCAAAAAATCAGCCCCTTCCCATAAAAAAGTACAATAATAAAGAAGATGGAAGGAAATTAAACTACCCTCTAGGATCTGAATTAGCTGTGATAAGATAAAATAACAATCACCAGCAACAACAAACTAAGCCAGAACCTACTATGCTCGGCCACCTATGAGGATCATATTGAACAAGTGAGGGAAAAAAAGGGACAATAAAACATTCATAATATATGGCCTCATATCAACCAGAATTCAAAACTAAATGTAGCAGTCAAAGATCCAATAAGTAAACCCATGGCTCCTACCAAAAATACTAACAATAACAATAATAAGGAAAAAAGGTTAAGAGGTGACTGTCACCTGCACTTTATCAGGCCAACCAACCAGTTCCAGAGAATGAAATAATGTCATCATGACAGGCCACTAGATCACCCATCAACTTGCATGCCATGGGGTTGTAGAAATGTGAGAAAGGCTGGCCTATAGCTCTCATGGCTTCTCCCAGACATGCTTCCTGCCACTCTTTTCAACCTTAAAACCAATGCAATTAAGTGAAGCAATCTTCATATGGATCAGAGCATTACGATTCATAGGCTCAAATAAACTTTTTATTTTTCTGTTGGAAATGAATCATTCCAATTAACTGTTTAAGAATCTTCCATGATTTCAACATCAGAAAATTTACATGTAACTCTAGCCCTACAATAAATCTAGCCTCTACACCAGTCCCAGTCTTGTTACACCAATTAAATGTTAAACCATAAATCTAACCTAAGTTGTTTTTCCTCCATCATCTAAAAATTCAACTGATGCCGCTAACTTATCCAGATGCAACTCAGCAGAGCATCCATCTGCTACTGACTTTGGAATGGTTGTTGTGTTCACCAGAACATCATGGGTGCTGTCATGACCCAAGGATGCCAATTCAGTTTCAAATGAATTCAGCTGAACATCGTTGGAAGGGCACTCTGCCTCATCGACTGCAGTTGCAGTTACATGTCCTGAATTGATTCTACTCTCTTCGAACATAGCCTTCTCATCAGATGTTAGTGTATTTGGTTTCAATTCATTGTTAGAAATTTGCTGTGCATCTATACCCTGCTTCTTATCAAGTAAAGTCCCATTTGATTCTAATTTATATTCCAAAATGGGACCCTGACTTGTTTCCAAACTGGTACCTAATTGCTCTTCCTTATGCAAGCACTCATCATCTGCCAATAAACCTTGACGAGTTTCACTTGAAGGAGACTCTGTTTTTAAATTTACATGACACGGAGACGGGAAAGCACCATGTACTTCCTCAGAAGATTCAGTCCTAACACTATTTTGCATCTCAGCCAATTGAGATCCATCAATTCTAGTGGCCACCATATTGGGACAGACAGGAGGGGTCCTCTTACAGCAGACATGACACCTAAATCCAATAATCTTGCTTTTGTTCTCTGAATTCAGTCCATAAGCATCTCCATGAAACCATTCTGCATAAATCATATGAAAGGAATATTATGAAAACAAATGTAAAGAACAAAAGTTTTATGCATCAACGGTCCATCTTTATAATAATAGGCCACCAACAGTGAAAACAGATATAAAAATGATTAAAATCAATTACCTTCACAAATTTCACACGCAACATAGTTTAAACTGGATGCATATCCTGCTTCACAACAAAGAAGACATTTGGGTTGATTGAGAGAGACAGTCATATGTTCAGAAGGGGCAAAAAACATTTTTCTACGAAATTGCATCACCCGTTCATCGTCTGGCTTACTGGACAACCGAAGACCATTAAGCCAGTAACTATGATAAGCCCTTGTTCTCTTCTTCTGCCAAGAAGTACATATCTTTGTTTTCTTAGGAGCCTTCTTCTTTGATTTCTGTTTGCTTTTCTTGCACCTACCAGGCTTTTTCTTTTGCACAGAAATGTATTTTATTTTCCTAGGTGAACGACGCAGTGGCACACCGGCAGCAACCTTTTTATCCTTCTGTGACCGCAGTGACATCCGTACTGCAATTGACTTTTTATTGTCTTTTGACCTCATCGATTTGCAATTTGTAGAGGCCTTTTTACTTTTTTGTGGCAGCTTTTTTGCACTTTTTGTGTTGGTCTTCCTGCACTTTGTGTCACCTTTTCCTCTTTTGGCATCACTTCCCCCTCTTTTTGCATTAACATTCGACTTCCCCTCTTGACATCGGTGGCACGTATACGTGCATTCAGCAATGATTGCTCCAGCAGATTTTCTAACATGCCTCTTATGAAAAAATCCTAAAATTATATCAAACTAATCAGATAGGTGAAAAATTATGCACATAGAAGCATGTGACAAGTGAGACGCTTATACAAGCAACCATCAAGCATGCGGAGCATCACTTTGTAAAAGCATATCATGTATATAAGCACGGGACAAATAGACTTTAGTATAGAAGAGCACCACTTACCCTTACAAATATGACAGCGTACAGCTTCCCTGCCAATTTGATAAAAAAACAAAAAACAAAATCAAAACATAGTAAATTAAAAAAAAAGGTATTTATGGGACAACAGACCATTAATGATTAGACCTTTAACTATGCAAATGTATATGCTTCAATGTGTATTCAAACCAAAAATTGATCTCTTATTCTGATAATCAATGACCAATTTTTAGATGCCAGGATACATTAATTTTTGTTATATTACAAATTTGTCCTTTCATAACTTTTAATATTATCAAGTTTGACAAAAATCCAAACAAATTATTTTAATCGGTTTAGTTTTCCTGATTACATTTACTTATTGCTTTGGTTGAGAACCATAAGACAGTTTTCACTTTTCACATATGACTACTATTACATTTTTGTTTACAAAAGCAAAGATGTCCATAAACTTTCTTTTCGAACGAAATGAGACATTAAGTTTTGTTCTATTCCTACATTGTCCTATTATAATATTTAATATTATTGAGCTCCATGTAAATCCTAGAAAAATTGATCATTAAGGTCATTTCATTTATCTTAGTAAATATTGCATTTTTATTTTGGAAGACCCATTATTTAATTTTAAGCAAACTTTACTTGAAATGGTAAAAAAGAAACTTAATATCTTCTCAGGAAGAAAGTTATAATTGATAATTAACATTCACTTATTTCTACTTTCAAACTTTATATTTTAAATTTAAAAAGTGAACTTGAGCAAAAATATTTAGACACAATGAATATGACTACAAATACTAGTTAGACCAATGTACAAATACATCCCCTGACAATTACTCTTTTCTTCTTTCAAAGATCACATCAACCAATTTATTTTCATTTTTTACTCATGCCAGCAATAAAGAAACAACAGTATCCCTGAATTTCAAAGTTTTCAATCATTTGTCCATGAAGGGTTTTATTTCTATTCTTTCCTGGCACTTCTCTTATTGGTGCTTGAGTAACAACCGGGTAGACTTGAAGTTTCTAAATAATTCTATTCCTCTGAATTAAAATAAAATACTTCCCAAATTTAGTCAGTACTATTATCTTGAAAAGGGATAATTATTTATCAACACCGGGGAAAAAAAAAGGTTAAGAAGTTTTATCATGCTCCAATATCTACCACTACATATCTTTTGAAGTTTTTTTTTTTTAATCTTCTCAGTTATTAGCAATTTAGTATACAAGGACTGACAATAAAATTTGGGACAGGGAATCTTAGTCACGTCTGTTCTATTATAACTTTCCTCCAATACCACGAAACTGAGACACCATTAAAAATGATAAAGAAGTCAGAAGTAATAGAATGATTGTTTCTACCTGATGAGGACATCTTTGTTACAGTGCCCACACTGATAATACTCAGATCTTTCAGCTTTAGAGAATAGATAGGAGAACCCCCTTTTCTTTGATGAGTTCTTTCCGTCCCTAATGATCTCAGAAGATTTTGCAGAAATCATCTTACTAGACTTACGGGAAATTCTCTTCTCTTCAAAACTTTTTAAGAGATGCAAGGGCACATAAGCTTCATTCAACCAATATTTCTTTCTTTCACTTGAAGATTCTTCAACTGCAGTCCCATATCTCATGACAATATCAGGAATGATTCTCCTCTTCCCAAAATCAAGAAGATACTTCACCCCATCTCCCTCTATGGATTTTCGGCGCACAACACATTTCTTGAACAGTCTGATTGATTTCTTAAAATCCTTATCCAAGATAGGAAGAGCATGAGTGTTTTCAATGTCATCCCACCTAATGTTCAAATCAAGTTCTCTTACCTGAAAATATAACATAACAAAAATAAGCCAGCATTCATAAGAGTGGCTGGTTTATGAAAATTTTGATACGAACTTACTCATAAACATGTAACTGAAAATGCAAATAATCAAGGCAAAAATCAACCATGTAAGGCCAATTATACAACATTATAGACCGCCTACTGTCTATTTAAGACATTTTAAAATTAATGTAATATGGCTAAAAGACTGGATTCATAGTCAGCAATATGGCTAAAAGACTGGAACCATAGTCAGTGTAAATTAATTAAGAGAACTGACACCACAAATGTTAGAACTAAATAGCATTAATACATACTTTGCAACATGCAAGCATATCCAGTATGGACAAGACAAGGTGGATGTGCACGAGCCAAAGTTAAATATTACTGGATCCACAGGGCAAAAAGTAACATGTCTCAAGTAGCCAGACCTTGCCATGCCAGCTAATCCTGGCTTATAGTCAAACCCATCTTCCTTCCAGTTCCAACCTCTAACTTGCATTTATGGCTTGACCATGGGTGAAGGATGACAATCTCTTTTGTTCAATAAGAGCCCTACATGAACTGGTCTTTCAATGTAAGGTGATCATCCTCTCATTTTTGCCACTTTATTGCTTTTGGCATTGTAATCTGGTTTCTGGATGTAATATACTAATTCTACCTTCTATAGCGAAACTTCAAACTCATTCGGTTTATATCTAGTCTTTTCTATATGGCCTCATGAGAAGGAATCAATATTCGAACATAGAAGGGGAAAAAAAGGTAAAACTTTAAAGCTCAGGACAGTGTGTCTAGAATCCGTGCAATTTGAAGGCATTAATGAAGAAATTCTTAACACTACATGACGGTGGAAGTCATTCATTTACAATTCAATGAATATACACAGCAGGAAGACTGGCATCAACTGCTACTACTCCCTATTGCAATAAGACATGAGGCCATCAGGTAATCATACCTGGAAAGCAAGTTGTTCTACACTAGTTGATGACTCAACAGCAGCTCGCCATGCCACAGATTTGCTTCTCTTTGCCAAATCTGAACTCTCAGGATAGAGTAGGCCTGGTATCTTTTTGCCGCCTCCTGCAGAATTTAAAATTCAAAGAAATCAGAATCATATTCCGTTATTTAAAAAAAAACAGCAATCAACCAGCATAACTAGAAGAAAAAGAGGATAAATGCAGACCTTGCCTAGCAGCTTTAGAAGCCAAAGAGCGAGGTAAAACCTTCCAGTTGAACAATTGACGAGAAACCCTACCACCCCTCCACCAACAAATACTTGGTCCTGCAGCAGTATTAGAAGTAGGGTTACTTTCACCATCATTGCTTCTGCCTCTTTTTCTTGCAATCCCATGCTTAGCAGACGTACGACTTGAAGCAGTCACAATATGAGAAGCAGAACCCATGGTAACAGCAGAATCGACATGTTTCATCCAGTCTGCTGAAAGAGCAAGATGATGTAGATTTGCCTCTAACTGTATCATGCCCGTTACAACATGAATAATGTCACAAAGAGAGAGAGAATAAGATTGAAGTAATACATATTAGATTATTGATCAAAGTTATATGCATTAAGTGGTTACAGTTGATAGATGACTAAGGTCAAAATGAGAAGTTGAGATGGTAAAACCTAACCTAACCAAAACAACCCATCTAACCTTCTTAAGAACTGGACTGAAAACGACCAAAATTCAGTGAGAAAGTTAAAGGTTCAGACTTGACCACAAGCCAAACTCCAAAGTACCTGAACTTGATTAGTATTTGCTTGCATAAAAATGTGGAAAAAGTTTGCACAACCCCAAAAGACCTGACCAACCTAACCTAACCCAATCCAACTCTAATATCAACTATCTATGTGCAACACTGTTCAAATAAGTCAAAATTGAAATAACCCAAACCTGGGCACCAATTGCCACCTTTAGGAATAACAGTTTTAACAATCTCATTTACACAGAAACCAGGGTTAAACACCACTCCAAATTACACACACATATCAAGAAAAACAAATAACAATTTTTTAAAATAGAGCCCTTTTTAACTAAATTCCAAACCAACCATCTAAAAAATAAGTATGCATATTGGAAAGAGATTGAATTGGACTTAGGAGGAACTATTAAACAGATTTGTCTTAAGGTATCGGCTTTAAAAATTCTGTCCGTCAGAACTTAGGGTCATGCCATATAAACTGCTCAGTTGAACCCCCTAAAAACCATAGGTGAACAAACCTTCAAGTTATGCAGTGAATGGACGAAAAATACTTACCGTTAGCAAAAAATGTTTGAGAGATGCGATATCAGAAGCCTTGAGAATGCTTTTATGCCAGATCTTGATGTATTGTGGGTTCAGCCATGGACCTGACAGAAGCCCATGCAAACGATTTTCAATGGAAAATACATGGCATATGACATCTATAACATGGCCCTTTTTGTTCCACTTTGACTGAAGGCCAACCATCTCACTTTTTGAAACTTCGTGGACACAACCTGAAGTAATTTTAAACAAGCAATCTGTATCATCCATTGGATATCTACAAGAGAAGCACCACCCACAATTTTCTTTGCGTGCATCTACAAATAAATTATTAATATCTGGCCAATGAAACCTGTTCGACTTTTTCAAAATAACCTTCATCTGCATTGCAATTATCTCCTCAACAGATTTTTGAGAGTCTTCATTTGTCTTTTCTGATGGCTTACACATTAACTCTTCTACAACTAATGAGGCAGTTCGGGCAAAACTATAGTAGTTCAAGTAGCCAGTCCCAGGCTGTGTTTGTGATGCATCACCTCTTTTTGCATTAATTGCACATAGGGTTCGCTGAGGTGCTAACTTTATCTTGCTTTCTTGATATAAACCCTTAGATATTAAAGAACAGTCTTCAAGATTTGAGGATTTTCCTGGAACCTCAGATTGGTTTGAGAACTCAGCAGATCCTTGTTTCTGGAAGTTAGGAATGACTGAACCCATTTGCATTGTTTCAGCTGACCCTTCAGAACTTATATACGGGATTTCAGTTCCAGCCACCGGATCCAACAAGTTGGCAAACTCTGTAACCTCAACATCAAGATGACCAGAATTTCCAGCTACTTCCTTCTCTTCCTGTTTCCCATCATCAACAGTCTCATTTTTTATCGCACTTGCTTCTCCAGAAGCCAGAGGTGGCAGGAATGTGCTAGCAGTAGGAATTTGCCCCTTCATCAGTGCCTCAGAACAAACAGAATTCAGAGAGTCCAAGTTACTACTAGCTCCATTTGAGCCAACAGCTACATCCCACTGCTTGTGAATTGCTTTTAATATGTCACGATAGAATATATCTGATGATTTTAGCACATCAATTACAACATTGAGGTTATCTCTGTGGTAATAACTCAATGAGTACTCAGCATCACATGAATCTAATCTGCAATTTCAACAACACAATGTCAAAGTAACACCGGAAGCAACAACATATTAAAAGAGAATTATTACCCATGATATTAATAATCTTTTGTGCCAAAATTTTTTAAAAAAAAATTAAAATACAAATCTTCTATGTTAATACAGAACTGCCAAACCAATAAACAAGAGGTAAACCAATCAGAGCCTACTTAATAGTGAAAATTGGATAAAATAAAATATCTTAAGGAAACTTTTATTTGAAACCTTCCAGTTTCCCCAACATTTCTACATAAAGCCTTAATTTATTAATTTGCTATATCTGCTTTGATTTTTCAAATTGATACAATATAAGTCTTTTATACAGATCTTTCAAATAATGGAATAGAAGCATAATATTTACAAATTTAACTTAACTATAGGCAATTGTCTTGGAAAAACCTTAAATGCAAGCCAAAAATAAGAACAAAACACCATTCCCCTAATCATTCAACATATTTTGGACGAAGAGTAGAAATTGCTAAATTTTCATATTTCAAACATTCCAGTTGAGCAAGGAAGAACATGCTATATGAGAAGCGCCCAACATCTTCATATAAAGACGAGGAAAATACATGTTTGTATCATGCTTAAGAAACAACGGAGGCAGAGAGAAACAAAGATTGGGGAAGACAAATGACACTAATTTCAGAAAATAGACCAAACAAACACATACAGAAACTCAAAATCTACCATATGAAACTAAATGACGCCATAAAATACTCTTGCAGTAAGTTAGTTGATTAGAAAGAAATATAATTCATCATTAACAACACAAAATCCTAACAACTAGTAATTGTTTTTAGGACTTGATGCCTTGGGGTTGATGAAAAAAATAATTTAATTGTAGCAAGTCACAAACTCTGAAGTTGCCTTCGTCTGATTCAAAAGAACTTAAAATCTGGATGAAAAATTATGTTTTCCTTTTTTTTTGGCAATCCCTCTAATTCAAATTATAAATAAGAAAATAAAGCTATGATATTATAATTCAAACAGAACTATGCAATTATAATTTTTGGTGAAAAACTGTGCAACAATATCATTTCAAAATAGAATCATGATTAAATATTTAGGAGCAAGCAAACCATTAAACAAACAATCTTTTTTTATTGACATCAGCAATTCCCAAAAAGACCATTGATCATGTCATATAGAATAACCCTTCTACTTCTACATGTTGGGTAACATGAAGTTTGTCATGAACTGGTCAAACAAGGTTAGTGATGACAAGAAATTTTTTTCACTGTTCTTCATTCAGCCAGAAGAGAACACCCACTCATAGGACAGAAATATATTCATCAACAATAACAATAGCATAGTACCACAAGTCTTAGTTAATAACCTATATCTACAGGTTGAGTAAAACGAACTTACACTAACAAGTAACCGGAACTGTTATAATATAACCGACCATGAGGATCAATGCCCAAAAGCTCTGCTCCTCTAGGTGATTTACGAGGTTTCATCCAAGGCTTATGTCTGCCAATTGCACACTCAGGGCAGTACCAGTCACCTTCTGGCAAAAGGGTATTGACAACACCTACACACTTCGAATGGTAAGCAGCAGGACAGCCATCACAGCATATTAGACTCCCATCCATCTTACAAAGGCAGCAATCATCACTATTCCAGTCTGTAGTGTCATCAACTATCTCGTCACTCAGGCCAGATCCACCTGACACGTCCATAGCAGCTTTTCTTTTCTTGGAAACCTCAATGTTCATATTTCGATCAAAATCCATTTCAGACTCAGATGCCAAAGACCTTCTATTAAGCTCAGATCTTATGGCTTCCACCTCAATCATATCATCACACAAACATTGAAGTATCTCAACCTTAACAGCTGCAGGTTGTTTATAATAGTCGCTTCTGAAAAGTTTCAAACTAGTAAGATCAAAACCACATTTCAATCCTGAACCATGAATCAGTAGATACTCGACCATGAAAATGGGCCATGTAATAGAGTCCAAGAAACCCCAATTAAGACTCCTACATTGTAAGATCAACAAGAAATATCAAACACTGATAACTGGAAAACAAAATTAATGTTGAAAAGGCAAGGACGGGAGGAAAAAGAATGAAAAGAATAAAAATACCTCAAACATTCAGAAGCAGATTCGGAACCTTCATTAGAAAGGAACTCCAAATGCTTTCTCAGAGTTTGCAAAATGGATACATGAATACAATCAATTAATGAGCTGGCAGACTGGCACTTCAATGCCGCCACAAAATCCTCCAACTCAAAGGGACTTAAAAATAATAAAGTACTAAATGACCTCAAACAAGCATAAATAGAAAAAATATCAAGTACAGCAATCCCATCCAAATTCAAATTCTTGGAAGATGGTGGTAGTTGCAGCTTTGGAGGAAGAATAATAGGCTCTTCAGACACTTTACGACCTGACCTAACTGGCTTCTCCTCTGTTACTGCACTAATTGAAGGAGATGTTGACAAATCACCAACTGCCAATGTTGTTACCATAGTAGGTGGTGGTGTGCTTGGAACATGATTTTTAGCAGACCCTCGGCGAGCACTTCTTCTCAACACCCTTTCTGTCGTAGACTCCAAATCATTTATAACCTTTCTTCTCTTTCTCCGCCCACTACCTTGTTTGTATGAACTTCCAGTATCAGCTTGGCACCCATCCATTACTCCAGTACCAGGCTCAGGGACACCCTCTAACCCAACTCCCTGACAATCATCAGCCTTGGCAACATGCCTATCCACAACACTCCCCTTCTCAAGGATTTCAATAGACCCTAAACATGAATGATCTTCCTTCAATTCCTTGTTACAAGCATCTTCTTCCAAACCACTTTGCTCCATTCTCAGCGTTTCTTGAACTATGTCAGCACAAGTGGTAGATTCACTCCCTTGCCCCTGCCGTCCACAGTTAACATCAATAGCATCCTTACCAATCTCCTCGTCAACCCCTAAATTCAAATCAAAACCACATGCCCTCCGTTGGGTTTCACAATTAACATCAATATTGTCATCCAAATCGCAATTCAAGTCCAAATTCAAATCAATACACCCTCTCTTCTTCATATTCTCTCCCCCACCACAAAACTTCCCATCGTCATCTAAATAATTATTGTTATAATAAGTATCATTCAAATTCAAATCAAACCCAGAAGAATTCAAATCAATCCCATTTTTCATTTCAACATTCCCATTATTATTCAAATTCAAATTCAAATCCCTTCGAGACCCAACTCCCTTCACATCTAGGGTTTCACTCAAATTCCCATCAAAACCCTCATTTTGCTTCAAATTCCCAACAAACCTTTCATTTAAATCAACATTTCCTTTCAAATTCCCATTCGTATTACTCTCTAGGGTTTCCTTCCCTACATTACCTGGACAAACGCGAACTTTCCTCTCAACACGGCGTCGTTTCCTCGGCCTTCCAACCCTCGGCTTCTCACGGACAACCTCCAACCCCGGGTCGGGTCTGGGCTCGTGGGTTGGGTTAGAATCATCAGCCATGATAAGAGAAGCAACTTCGTAGACGTCGAGTTCCTCGGAATCCCCGTCCTCGTAAACGATCTGGAAAAACCCTGATGAAGAATCAAATGAATTAACAGTTCCTGAGAAAATACCAAATCCCTTGAACTTTTTCTTCACGGACTTGCCCACAAACTCCATTTTCTCATTTTTGGGTTTTTTCCTTTTAGCTTCCTCCCCTCTCTTTTTCTTTTCGGGGTTTTTGAAAATGGAAATATCTATCGAGCCTAAAAGGGGAGAGAAAAAGAAAGAAAACCCAGATGGGAAATGTTGATTTAAATTCACGAGTAGCAGTCTAGAAGAAGGTTTGGAGGGGGTTTTAGAGAAATCGAAGAAGAAGGAGAGAAAAGGGAGGGGATTTGCGGGGTTTTTTCCCCTTACACTTATATATTCTTTCTTTTCTCTTACAGGGAAATGCCTTTAACGTGCAAAGAAAGAGAGAGAGAGAAATATAAATTGGCTTTCCCCTTTCTTTTTCTTTTTTTTTTATTATTAACGAAGAAATGAGGCCTCTTTGAAGAGCCGAAGTAGGGAGGAAAGAGAGTTGGATGTTAGGTGTGGGGAAGAAAAGAAGTGAACTATTTTGATATTAAAAAAAAAATGTATCTTTTATAGTTAGCAAGTACCCCATACTTGATTGTGACTAGTCAAAAGAGGTGGGATTTCCTTCTGTCTGGTTTGTTCATTTTTTGGGTATTTCCCATGCTTCTGTGACAGCTAAAATGGGGAGGAGGTTGTGCATGTCCATGTGAGCTGAGGAGGAAGAGAACGGCGCAAATTTAAGATGGCATTTATGCTCCATATGTGCTACTTACTGCTTTCTTTGCTTATGATTGGAGGCAGTGATACAGTACTGGTAGTAGTTCCCACTTTTGCATCTTTCTTCTTCACTTCTGTACTATGGAGAATTTGCTTTACAAATGTACTTCAATGGAAACATATACTTGGACTCAAGAATATAGTTAAATATAAAACCATGACCATTATATATTAAGTAAATTACCCTCATCTATTAAGTTGTTATGAAAATTTTAAGTGAGTCTATCAATTTTAAAAATAGATATTCTATTTCAAAAAAAAAATTTCCTTAGGCATATAGATTCAGTCGTTAGTTAATTTTTAATATTTTCATTAATTTGATAATGTGATAATATTGAAATGATAATTTTATTTTTTATTAATTTTAAAATTTATTATTATATTATTTTTATTAATTAACCTCTTTTTTGAGAAATTGATGCTCTTTTTTTAAAAAAATGTTATAATAATTTTTAAATTAATAAAAAAATATTTTAATCTTTTTATAATATTTGTTAATGGAGTTTACGCTTTTAATATGGAATGTTCATTTTAAAAATTAATATACTCATTTGAAATTTTGATTAAAACTTAAAAATGTGAAGGTATTGCTTTTTCTTTATTTCAACATATTTTTTTTAATTTTTTTGACCAAATATAAGTATAGTTTTGCATTTTAATATTTAATTCAATAATTAAGATGTATTTTTATTCAAAATGTTGAGTTTGAATAATAGAATCTCTTCTCTTTATGATTATAACAAAAAAAAAATAACAACGGTAATTTTTAAGATTTAAAAAATTATCTAAAAAATCCCTTTTTTGACTAGATGCCATAATTTAAACTATTTGCTACTTACTCTATTTTAACTTATTTAATTGAGGTTGACTAATTCTAGTTACTAATTACATCAAGTCTTAATTCTTGACTTTGAGTTGATTTCAAGGTTAATGAGTTTTTTATTTTTAAAACATTTTATGTAATATATTTTATGTTGAACATTTTTAACAATCATAATAGAAGAAAATCTTTGAAATAATTATGTATATTCAAATAATTAAGTTTGTTTAAATACTTATATTTATCGAACCAGTTATATTTGTACAAAGAAACACGTCTTTATCTATACATAAAACCTTTTAATCTTCTAAATATGAATGAATAGAAAATTTGACACTCGAATGTTTTGTTCTTTCGTTGATGCATGATTTTTTATCTAAAGAGTAAGTTCAAAACCTCTTTCCTTAAATTATAAAAAAGAATTAATTGAAAAATATGTAAATACTCTCTCATCCCTTTCCAATTTTTTCTTAAATTACTTATGATAATGTTTTGTTGTAAAAAAATTATATAGGAGTTTGATAATTTTATCATACACTAGTGAGTGTCCTGTAATTAATTTCGTTAATGCAAAATATTGATAAGCACCAAATTTCACTATATCATCAAGATTTATTATTTGTAACTATTTTGCACATCTAAATAAATAATCAATGGAGACGAATAAAATTTTAAAGAAAATAGTATAAATATTTTTGTTTTTCTAGTACTATGTTCTAACATTTTATATACAATATGCATTATGTAAACAAAACATAATAGTCTAGCTTATATAATATATTAATTGTTGACTTGTTGTAACAAGGGATGTGCGTTGCTGGGTGTAATTTCCTTTTAATAATTTATACAAATATTTATTTATTTTTAATAAGATATACGAATGTGTATTTATTTTTATGTTATGGGTAGAAGTTGTAATTTTTGGAAAGGCAAATAAAGAAAGCAACACAAATTGATTGAACAAATAAATTTTTAGTCCTCTTTTTTCCTTTACATTTTGATTAACCAAAAGTAATAATGGAAGATAAAGGAACAATAAGGAAAATAAGTATGAAACCTTTTTTTTGTTTATTTTTTTCTTTTTACCTTTAATCTAAAATTAATTTTAACTTGATATAATATTTAAAAAAATTCTTAAATTATTTAAAAAATTTTAAATAAGTTATAATTCTTTTATTGTGTTCAATGAAGCTAATTTTTTAATCAATAATTGACTTGGTGATTAAAATACCATTTGTTATTTTATGTCACATAATATACTAATGTGATATAATGACATAATCATGTGACATTTTTCATCATTCACTTTTAATTATCACGTGAGTATAAAATAATAAGTGATATTTTGTTTTATGGTAAATATTAGTAATAAAAGTCTATTTGATTCAGAATAAAAATAAAAAAAAAACTTGATTAAATATAATAGAAGACTAAGAACTTATTTTAATTTCTTTAAAATATTTTGACTTTTAACTTCTTTATTGTTTATTTTTCATTTTTACATATATATATATATATTTTATAATTTTCTTTCTATTCTCTTTACTAATGCCTTATAGTTCTTCTCTCTCCTGATTTCCTACATGCCAAAATCCTTTTATATAATATAAGATTACATTGTAATGTTTGGCTTAAAAACATTTTACTAAGAATATAGTATAAATTTACAAAATTACCTTTATATATGAAAATATAAAATCGAATAAATTTACACTCTTTTTAATATAAATTTTAACTTGTCAATTTATTCCTTAAATAATAAATAATAACAAAAAAAATAATATTAAAACATGTGAAATCACTAAATATTTATTTTTAATAAATTAGTTAAGTTTTCAAGAATTAAATTGGATAATTCTGCAATACCAAATGCCTTTTTAACATTGAAATATGAAAGACCAAAAAGTGACAGATGCACTCAAAAAAAAAAAAAGAAAGTGAAAGATGATGCATGTCGGTTAATCATGATTTTTCTCTTATTTTTTTTTAATGGGAAGAATTTTTATTAGCTTGATAAGTGGAGATCAGCTACATCATGTAATAGAAAATAATTAATCTCTGGAAGAGGAACATCAAATAATATAAAGCTACCCTCTTGTGTTATCCCATGTTCGCCATACGATCTGTGATCATGTTTCCTTCACGAAAGACGTGTCTAATTTCTACAACCCACTGTTTCAGAAGCAATCCCTTAATCGCTTGAATTAAATCATAATTATGACTGATGACTGTCGATGCTGGATTTATAACTCTCACAACTATGCTATTGTCAATTTGCAGGTCAATCCTTGTATGCCCAGACTCCCAAGCCACTGTTTGACCTTTTAAAACGCTCCATAGGGCTGAGCATAATTCCAACCGAAGAGAGAAACCTGTGATCCAATTACCATGGGCGTCCCTTATCACCCCTCCTGTAGCTGCACTGTTGCGAGATGGCCGTGAAGCACCATCAACATTCAATGCAGCGAAATTTGTTGCAGGGGGTTGCCAACCTTTCATGCAATTTGTCGAGCCATGTGGTATTTCTCTACTGGCTAGAATGGGGGTTGTGTTAGCAGACATAACATCGAGTACTTTCTGCGGTCTTTTGTATACACTCAAAACACAAATGAATTTCTGCATTTCCATATCAGCCAACATGCGATTCCCAAAACCAGATTCCACGGTGCATCATAAATTAATTTACTACTGTTATCGACGTTATTAAACAACCAATCATTCAAGGCGTGAGTATTGAAAGTACCTTGATGATTCTGTGGGAGAAGTCTAAACCAGACGGCGGTTGCAGCGGGACAATCCCTAAGACCGTGCAAGATAGATTCTTTTAATTTCATATACATATATAATAATAAATTTTGACTGGATAAAATATCCTTTAATATAATATATCCATGGATCAGCATTAAACCTCCAAAAATGACTTACGCCAAGTGGATTCTACAATCTTGCCAATGATATAGAAAAGTTATATAACTAGATTGTTTTTGTTTTTGGTTCAAATAACTGTTACCTATCCTAGACTAGACAAGATAATATACAACACGAGACTTTCTTAATTCAGGATTGCTGACTCAAGTCTTCCTTAAATAAATTGTGATGTAATAATGCTATTCTCTACGTTTAGCACTACCCAAAAACTCTAAAACTTCTAGGGAGAAAAGATAAAAACCTGTCACTGTTACTCACCTATCTCTCTTTTTCCGAGAGAGAGACCTAACTTTTTAGGGTTTTTATTTATTCATATGATAAGATTAATTAATAATTTTTAATAAGATGTAAAATGAAACACATTGAACCGTGAAACAATAGTTGTTCAACCACTTGCTCCAAGGAAAGTCAAAAGTGAAAAGGATGCACCCTATGAAAATATATCTCACAGCAAAAATCGAACGTTAACCTTTTTATTTTAGTTTTCTCTGTACATTTGATTTGATCGTACCCAATATTTCCCCGTCTTAACAAAAAGTCTTGCTGTTGACGTTCCAACAAAGATTTCTGAAAATACAGAATGATGATAACACACAACTTACTCAAATCATGAAAATGACTTCAAGAATTGCAAAGGTCCGATAAAACATGATGCGGCTGTCGCATTTTCATTGAAACGAGCGAGCAGACACATCACGTTTAACCTACGCCAGCTGTTTGTAGGACCCAAAGACCTAATGTATTACTTACATTTTGATCAGCAATTGCAAATTCATAATCTGCGCTATATCAAATGCATGCTGCTTTAAATTTTAGACACTCCAATAGGCAAAAATGGGGGAGAAATATCCATGTACTCTCTAGTTTTTCTCAAGGCATAATTTAAAGTTTACAGTTGACTGCGTATGGCTACAGGTTTACCAAGGAAAAAGGACTACTCTGCCAAACTGGCGAGGATGAGTTAAACAACTCATCAGAATTGTCCCTCGCCAGGCTTATCAGGCAACTAATTAGACAGCAGCATTCGTACACATCTTGACATCAACATGTAGTTCTGGTTACTGAGTTACCTTAATACGTGTTTAGTTCTAATGAATCGCTAACTGATCATGAACTATGCACCTAATCCGAATTTCATTCACTTGTCTCTACTTCATGTACATAAAAATTTGTTGGGGCAATGAGGGGTACAACTAAAAATGGATTAAGTTACAGCATATGATCGGACAGATCACACCTCATTGCTCAGCCGGCATAGGCCTGAATAAACAGCTTTCCGGAAAAGAGGATGGACATCTTCAGTTAACACCTCCGCATCCAACTTCTCAATGTGAGGCCATATCTGCCAAAATGCAAATTGGTACCAAATATTAGATAAAATCCAGTTTGCTACACATTCAGTCATCATGTGGGAATTCATTCAAGGAAATGAAATTAGGGAAGACAAACGTGCACGAAGCAAGTATGTGAGAGGAAACAGGCACCAACCTGCTACATTAAAGGCCACATGCAATAAGGTACATCATGTCAAAGGGTAATATAGTCCTAAAACAAATGCATTCCTCAAAAATTAGCAAGTGGAAGCACTATTTTAATCATTATCGAAGAATTGACCTCAATGTGAAGTTCACTAACCCGTCATTATTCCTAGATCTGTGTTTTAGTATACAGCGAACTTGTCAAATATGGAAATTTACAATGTCACTCTAATTCTTGCCTTTAGGAATGCTTCAGAACATTGCTAACCAACTGCCAAAGGGTCCAAGAATCAAAGTAACAGAAGTAGAGAGAGACAATATGGGAGATGGAGTGTACCACTGTCTGAGCTTATCATGGAATATTAATAACTTTTTTCATTTCACTGTTTTGAAATCTTGATTTCTTGATATACAAGTCTGACGCAATCCAGTTATATTTATTTATAATGTTCTAACTACGTAATGTCTAGCTTTTCTGCCATGCAGGTATTGCATAGACCAACACATAATCACACTAGTGAAAGCCTGACTGCACCTACGGAGTAAGTAAAGATATGCCCACCAACAGCCAAAAGGAAGGCCGTGTGGAGTTAGACTGCAAGAGAAATCAGATTTATTGTGGTCCCCTCTTAAACTGGGGCAGAGTTAGGAAATGCTCATTGAATATTAGCATAATAACTTCCTAGTCAGAAAAGTTTCATATTGGAAAAAAAAAAGGTGCACTTGGTAGATTAAAGCATCAGTTTATTTTTTAAATATATACTGCAGTAGCTATAGATCAAAATTTGGTAAAGATAAAGTCACAGAGAAACATCACAAAGTCATCATGACATCCATTAAAGAACAGGAGCTCAATAAACAGTACTTACCTCGGATGCATATTGCCTCGAGAACGCCTTGACATAGCCCAGAGTTGATAAACACCACTGTTCTTTTTCCCCTACATTATAAATATTTGATGCCTTACTCCCATTAAGCTGACTGCAATATAGCAAGAAAAAAATAATTAATTCACTGTTATTTTGTTATCATAAAATGACAATGTGCATAAAAAGATAAATAAAGACAAGAGGCCAGGGAAAGGTTGGGGAGTTGGAACCTTTTCTTAGGTCTTCCATTCTCATCATCCACCTCCATAGTTGATGATTCTTCAAGGTCAACAGCCATTGAGTCTCCATGGATAGACTTTAATGCTTGCAATGTTCCAGCTCTAGATGCATCAGGTAGACGTTCCACCAAAACATTGGAGAAATTTTTGTATAGAGAGAGGAACAAAACCTACACATTTCAATCACATAAAAAATGGAATAAGTTAATTGGAACAGAAATTCTGAAAAGAAAAAGGTTGATCTGGTAATTTCTGCTAGTAACAGACCAAAGAACACTGGGGCTGTAAACTTAAGACAGGGTCGTGAAAAAAGAAGAGAAAACACATTCAAACAAGTAAATATATCCATAAAACAACAATAAACTTCTCAAACAATATCAGCTAGTATCACTTCATTACAGCAAAGGGGAATACACTTGGGTGGATTATCCGAGTATAACTAAAAATGGAACTTAAATTAGAACTACAACCCATATACGTGGGCTACATGTTCGTCAATCTAATAAAAATGCATGTTTCTACTCAACAGTTCATAGCATTTTGAGTGCTGCCATAATCAGTGATACATTAGTATTTAAGTGCCATTGTTACATTCAAAAAAGATCAGAACATGCTAGTTAAAGGGAATTCTGATCTATGCAACAAGTGCATAAAATTGATCAGTACACCCCTCCAAACCAACAAGTAGTGAAGATTTCAACCACAAGGACAAAGTTTCCCGACAATATTGCAATGCTATTGGACAAAAATCAAAGATATGTCAGTTGAACCTAATACCTCATTTTCATCTAGCGCTCGAGCAAGAAGAGCCTCCTTGGCCTGTAAAGAGTCATGAATAGATACTTCCTCTTCCTCAGCTTTTTCAGCCTGAGTTTTTAAACGCTTTAACCTTACAGGGTTTTCACCAAGAACAGGTTCACCTTCCACTAGTGTAAGCTTTGACTCAGCAGCCTCTAAAGCTGCTTTTGCCTTAGATGCAGCTTCTTCTGCTGATATAACACCCTTCTTCAGAGATGATATCTCTTTCCTTAGATCAGTGATACGATTGTATGTCTTACTAACTGCATTCCTGAGAATCTGTGAAATTAAAAGAGGAAGTCTTTGTGATGGAACTAATTTTTGATCAGATACAATGAACATGATCTGCTTAAAACCACACACAGAGATATGATTAATTTTCCAAAGAGAACACAGGATAAATGAATGCCCAAGCAATTAGAGTAAAAAAGGTTCAAAATTAGAAAGAAAGAAACAGGGAAAAGGAGTAATCTTCAATTTCTTTTCCTGCGAAGCAAGGAAGTAATTATATTAATTTCAGATCAAAGCTTTCCAGCAGTTCATTTTGGTTTTTTATATTTATTTTTTGAAAAAAAAAAAAAAAACCTCAGGATCTCAAAGGATGCCCAAAAACTCCAGTATTCAGTAAGTTTCAATGTCCAAAAAGTAGTAACAACAGAGATCTGAAATGGCTTAAACTTCCAAGTTTCTGTCTAATAGATTTGGGTGACTCTGGCTCGTCTATGGTCTAATTGAATTACGGAATTCAATTCAACCATACACTAAACAGGTACATTGCAAGGAAACTTGAGCCATCCTTTTGAAACTATGCTTTTGTTTGTGCCAGGAGGGGGGAGGGGTGGCATGCAAATATAAACTGAATTTGTTGATGTACCTCCCATGGACGATCTGATATATGAAATTGCTCAATGTTTTCTGGAGAGAAGACCCATCTCACAATGGCCAAATTAGATATAAGACGATAACCCATCATCCTATCAATTGCTATAGATGTCATCTGCGCATTGTTCTTCCAATATGAACTCACTTCAGCTATGAGCATGACCTGCTTATCCTGATCAGGACATATTTTTGCGATGACCTGCCCGTATCTCTCCAAGACAGTGATCAAATGAGTGAAACTTTTAGATCCAATGTCAAGAAGAGTTTGTACAACCACACTGAGGGTAACTTCCAGGCCATGTGCAGGATATATATTTTCCTCAATCAATGAAATTATCTCATGTGCTGTTTGCCTTCCTTTCACCTTATTGCTAATTTCAGCGGAAATTGCATGTTGTTCGGTTCTTTCTCCACCATCCTCTAGACTATACTTGAAGTTTGGACCACCTTTGGGTGGAAGCAACTCTTCCAGGGCAGGTGCATTCTCAATGCTCTACATTAACAAATGTTGTGAAGGAGAAATGTTACCGCGTAGCAACAAGCCAAGGTTAGTGTAACATATCTTTTACTGGTACAAGTAAAATATAACATTTTTACAAATAAGGAAGATTAAAACTTTTTTTAACCATTATTCATTGCCCCAGCCAAAACCTACATTCTATCCACATTAATAATACTCTGGAATAAAAAAGGTATTCTAGCAAGTCTCTTACCTGTTTTATTTTGTCCCAATATGACAAACGAACTTCTCTTTCCAAGACCTCTTGAACAAATACACGCTGTGGAGCCCAATTTGGGAGGTCAAGGACATAAGCCCATTCTTCCCAAGGCCAAATAAATTGGAAGTTTGATCTGTGAAGCCAGAAAATTATTGTTAAATGTACACAAATCAGCTGAAAAAGTGATCTCAAACCAAAATCCAGAAACACAGAGCAAGGGACCTAGTTGGTGGCTTGGTGCAATGGACATCTAACTGAACCACCAGTCATAATTGAAAACAATATCCAATGTGCTACAAATCATATTATCAAGCATAAAACAAGAAGGAAAAGGTATATTATTGTGGAAAAAAAAGATTAACAGAACTTATTGTGGACTTACAAATGGTGTGAAAACCAAAGGATAAGTCGTGTCCGACACTCCATATCTAAATCGGCAATTTTATCAAAAAGAGCGCGAACTGCACCTGCTACAACTGCAGGAAAGGCACCGGGGAGAGCCTAAGCATTAAACTACAATGTCAGACACTTGATTTAAAGGCCAAAACAATTTCTTATGAAAAAAAAAAGAAAAAGGAAAAATAAGCAGTAACAGCTTCTAAACTACCTTACAGAGGTCCATAATAACCAGTGTGTAATATATTGGCTTGAATGGGGGCTGCGGTAACAAAAGCAGCTGCAAGAACAACACAGGCTTATCTTTCTGTATCATAGGTTCTAATAGGTAAAAGATACATACATAAATATAAAACATGCTCTTTTTTTAAATTTAATATATATATATATTTATATATATTGTAGGCTTCAAACCACAATTTAAGCCTTAAAAGGTCACAATAATAATCACATCTTTAAAGTAACCTTCCTTGACAGTAACATTGCTTATATATATATATATATATATATATTTTGCAGGCTTCAAACTACAATTTAAGCCTTAAAAGGTCACAATAACAATCACACCTTTAAAGTCACTTTCCTTGACAGTAACATTGCAAAGCAGTAGCTAATTAATGACTTATCCACAAAAAAAGAAGTTATTAATTTGTTTTTTATTTGATTTTGTAGATAATGGCAATAAAAGAAGATAGAACCAGCCAGAGAGTTCCAAATTCGCTTTGACCTACACAATTTGGGGGAGGAGCTTGACAAAAACAGATAATAGAAGGTAAACGTATTTAGCAGTCCATGGCACAGTGGTGTCAAGAAAGACCAACTTGACGTCGTGTCCTAGGAGCCATACTGTTTCAATGGCCATTCCAATATTTCTTTCATTTTTTTCTTAAAAGATAATGAAAGGAACAGTCTCCAAGTCAATATCCATTGCCAGAAATGCATTAGCTATATGATGAAATGGCATTTCATAATGCATGCAACTAGCGAAAAAACCGTACATGAAAAAATTAAAGAAGACGGTCTTCAATCACATTATATATTTGGACCATGTGACAATTAAAATTCCTCCTATCCCCTAAGTTCACCAGAAATCGTTACTTTAAATTTGATGATTAAAAATAAATTCAGAAAAGGTGTCATTCTGTTTTCTGGATACTACTATGTCATGGCCTATTTTGGTAGATTCCCCTTAGAGGTAGATAATGTATGCTTCAAAGATATCACACATACATTTAGGTTTGTAACTCTCTTCCTCTCCTTGCAAATGACCAAATGCCAGATCACATGCAAGTTTAAGCCATTTAAACATGACAGGAAGCATGAAATTACTCTAGAGTTATTGTCCACTAACTACAGGTGCAAAAGAATTAATATTCCTGTTTATACTTTATGTAACAACACATGAAGAAAAAGCATAAATCAGATTATTGGTATTGACAAACAGCTATGAATACATATAACATAAATTTGTACCTGAGAGAATATTGTTTCTGCCATTAGGTACTCATACCGAAAGGGCACTGGCAGGCCTACCATGAAAGAAGCACATTCCTTTCGACTAGCTTTGCATGAAGCAAGAAACAGAAATAATTAAAATTAAGACTCAAGGCCTTAACATACTTTTATAACTAAATGATAAGGACTTAATTTATTTAAAATCTAAAGAAACAAGATCAGGCTAATGATCCAATAAAAGAAAATTATGAATAGCTTCAGCAAAACATGTAGAAAGAGCCTTTCAAAAAAAAAACATGTAGAAAGAGGCTAGAATATCAATAATAGTCCCATTTCTAACTCTGTCAAAATGCAACTGAAGGGTTAAAGTAAAAGGCATCAAATAAAAATAAATAAACAACTCTTTAACTGCTTCTGATTGTTGCTGACTATCAAGTAAATCAGGGATGAGTGAGTTTTCAATGTCTACACAGCAGACTGATATTTCAATATGGTTTTGGTAATTAATAATGCATTAAATTCTAGCATTTATTTAGTTCACAAGAGTTAAACCATACGATACGGGCAAACATGAATAAATATTTACAAACAAAATAGAATAAGCACTTGTGAACTACAGTTTGCGTATTGAGATACTATCAACACAAGATGTTTGACAAAAGCAAAACTTTAATTTGATAATCTATCTAATTCAGATTATACCAATCTCATTTGCTAAAATAAAAAAATTGTTACTGACAAATCCATGCCCTCCCAACTCACATCTAGTCCTCAGATAAATTTCAAGCTCATATAGTTCATAATGAAAAAAAATTATAATCATTTCAAAAAATTAAGAAAGCCATTAAAGTACATTCAATAAAATAGTGAAAGGTCAGCATAGTGTACAAACCATCCATTCAAGAACAAAAGCACATCCAGCAAATACTCTTCAACAACAAAGCGATCAATAGGCTGGAGATCCTGTTAAACAAAACAAGAAATGAGAGAGAGAGGGAAAGAGCTATAAAGAAAATCCAGATTGGAGAGAGGGATGGATACATATAAACTGTCATGGGCAACTAAATTTAAGACATGAAACCCAGGACCATCTTTGATGAAGAAGGAAAATGGTGGCAGCCTATGACAAATTCAACAATGACATTTCAATAATTTTACCTCTGTTTTACTAGCAGGAAAAATATTAAGTCTGCGTGTTCTTTGAGGATACTTCAACTCTGCCTCATGCTTTTGTTTTCCATAAGCTACAGCAGAAATTGTTGAAGGCAGATCAGGTTGCTCAGGACAGCTAATGGGACCAAACTCATGAGACTTTCCAGCAACTAGCTGGGCTTCAAATGATAGGTGAGGCCTTGGAACTAGCAAATAAAAACCGATCATGAAATTAAAACTTGTCATCCAGAAGAGGGAAGGATGGTGGATGGGAAGTAGAGAATCAAATCCGAGATAGATGGAAGAGAGACACCGTAAAAAATAAATTTGTATCACAACATATACCAAAAAACTTCTTGCTTATTTGTCATGGTAATACACATTTATTTATAGCAAGAGTGAAGGATTCAAAGTAATAAAATAAACAAAGATTAGATATATTACCACTTTCAACTTTCCAACCATTGCTAGACAGAACTTGTATCCGTTCCCATAAATCTTCAAGGAAATCCTGAAGGAACATTAAGGGAAATATTGATGAACAAAGTTGCATCCTGGCTATATCAATAATTAAGAATTGTTGTATAAAATTGAAAAATTAGAACGGAGCATGGAACAATGAGAAATTAACAATAATGGAATGACAATCTAGTTCTGTTAATCATTATCACAACCATCAAAGCTAACTGCTAAAGCTAGAGTCGTTCAAAGTCAATTACTTCCCATAGCACAAGTGCCCCCAATGCCAAAAGATTTCTCTATACTGTGTGAAATTCCTGACATATTGGCACTTTTTAAATGATTTTACTGGGCTAGAAAGTTATGATATGATCTAAAAAGCTCTGATTCTTAACAGTTTGAGACAAATAATGAACATATGCAGCATTTAATATAGTTAAATTCAGTCAAGCCAAAAATATATAAAATAAACACATAAGTCTGAAAAACTTCTAACAATTCACACAGAATTTCAAGATTTACTATAGAGCACTCGGATTAACATCAATAGTTTCCAATTATAGCCACCATAACCAGAGTCATCAGTTGCAACAACACATGAGCAACCTGCCAAAGCAATATGGACCACTATCCTAGAAACAGTACTACCAAGAACCAAGGCTTGCCCTAGCAGTTCTTACCCTCCCTAGGAAGGTTAAAATTCAAGGTTTGAATCCCCCCCACCCCCTGGACCTCCTCATACGTACCAAAAAAAATAAACACCACCATTACAAGTTGCATCACAGAATGCTTACAGAGTTCATTCCTTATAACAACAGAACCAAAGGAATAGGACCACATTTAACAACCTATAGAGACCAAAGGAATATCAACATTAAGGTTTCAATTTAGAACAAGGATAGTTGAGTCACGACAGCAAAACATACCTTTTCAACAAGGTCGCCTCCCGGCTCATCATCCTCAAAAAAAGATAATCCAGAGTCAGAAGTATGCCTTCGAATGCTCAAATAGGCTTGTATACCAACCATGACTCTTTCTATCTCCTCAGGAACTTGCTGATTACATACATATTTGTTTCTTTCAGAATACAGAATATGAATCTCAATTAAAATTGAGCGAATTTAATCTAAAACCGTAATAGGCATTAAGAAACTATATAAGTGATAAAATAAAGTTACCAATCCTTGCAACAGTGTTATGCAACCTAGACAGCAGAAACCGGTGGCAAGTGAATTACATAATGATTCTCCCCAAAAAAATTTTGCTGTCATTTGAAAACACACTGCTTTCTTCGGATGAAGAAATTATTATTATCATATAACTCTAAGCAACCAATTAATTTCAGTAATTTGTAAACTAATATTTGTGGATGAGTAAATTTTGAAATAGAACTATTACTAGTCTAAGTGAAACACACAATGTAGGTCGTTAAGATACTTGACAAATATAAACTAAAAGGTAACAACAAAAATGAGAAAGACACTGCCAAAAAAATGGAAGGATATTTATTCAATACAAATATTTTTAATCTAATAAACTGGAAGTTGAAATTGAATGGGGTAATATGCTGCAGTTTTCTAACATTTTAAAAGGGATGGAAAAAGAAAATAAGTAGAAACTGGGTGATCAGGCGGGTTAAAAGACAGACTCAACAAGAAATTGTTACAGGAGAGACAGAGAATGAGTTGGTGAGAGGCCAACTTCTCCAAGTGCTACATATTAGTGTATGTGATTGTAATTGACTAATATGATATGATAGGATAAGCATATTTGTCAATTACAACCAAGGGATAAGCTATGGTGGCGATGATTATGCATTTTAACATTCTTTTTTGTATTATAACACAATTTTTATATTGGCTTTATATATTTTCAAAGACCATACTATATTGTTTATAAAATAAACATTTTTATTTCTGTATACCACCATTTATGCTTCTAATTCTTTAAAATTCTTATCTTGCCACGTCAGACCAAGATATAAATATTTCCAGCAGACTAAAAACATAGGTAATCATATGAAGAAAAGCATACCAGGTATCAACAACCACTTAGCTGACATTAATCCCAACCTAACAAAACATTACATTTACTAAGAGTTGAGAAAGGCCTCACCTCCCCGAGTTCTGCTCCTCCCCATGGAAGACAAGATAAAATGCAAGTCACATAAAAGTCAGCACATGCTTGCCAGGAAGGATTTCCTTTCTCCTCATCCACTGTTGTGGCAGCAGATGATAATAGAGTTTCAAAGACAACTACAAGTGAAGCAGGTTGGAGAACTTTACTGCACATCTGTAGAACACAAAGAAATAAAACAGATAAAGCTTCCTATCATCTTGAAAACAAAAACAAATATACTTTCATTACAGGGTATCTGATCTAGCAAACTAGTTATAAACCACAAACCGCCAACTGGCTAAAAATTAGAAATGCTTCATGTTTGCATAACACCCTAATATCCATATCTATGTCCCTAAAGCAACTCGGGAAAAGGAAGCTTCAAAACATATATGTATGCATTGAGGAGATTTTCGTCAAAACATACATAAGCTGAAGCTGTAACTGCTGCCTATAAGGTCTCAAATAACATTTTCAGGGTATGCACCAGCACCAAAAAGAAGTTAAAAAATGATTAAGCAAAAGCTAGTATGAGCTTGTCTTTCCTCTTGGTTTGCAACTACCAACAACATTTTGTTAGTAGAATTCCATGCTTAAAAGAAAAAAGTTTAAATAGTAAGAGTTGCATAGTCTTCCAAAATTTACTTTCGTTGATCATGAAATAAATAGCACAGAAAGCCTTCGTCCTGTTCTCTAGTGTTTTTACTTCAATCATATGGATGAGGCGAAACTTAATTGCTACTAGGATGTTTCCAAATTCAAGTCTATCCCAAAACAATCACTAATTAACTATATCATAGAGATTAGGCAAGATTTCCATGTAGCCATACTAACGTTATACATACCAAAACAGTCAAAAACCGCATCAAAATACGAATTCTGTCACAATTTCCAGAATCTAGAGCCTCCTGAAAAATCCAACATGGAGAACATGTGAGAGAGAACAAAAAGCACTATATAGGGGGTAAAACCCAAACCCCTGAATCAACAACCAGAGTAATACACTCTTGAAACCATCCAAATTAGAAACTTGCTCACCTGATAACTAGTTTGTGTATTCTCGACTATTTTTTTAACAAAGTCCTCATCTTCCAAGTTTAGCAAACCAACCTGTGAGAGAAAGTGTGAGAGGCCGTAGAACTAGTAGGAAGTCTCGCTAACTATGCAAGTGTAAAAAAAGGAGCATCTGTGAACAATATGTCAATTGATAAAGAGGAAAAAAAAATACACTTACAACAAGCAAACACAAAACAATAAGGTTGTCAAATTTCTCCCTTTCACTTTTTTTTCTCTGTTGCAATTGTGAAGCAAATACACAAAAGACGGGGAGTTCTGCACAAAAAGAAATCTTGTACAGATGTCTTAAATCTCTTCATAGCATTCTTACACAACTTTTGTTTGCAAAATTAGCATTTCTTTGACAGGACCAGTGATGAAAGCCATAGACAAATTCTAGACATTGTGTGAGAATACTCCCTCCTTTTATTTTGTTTTGTCTCTTTCTTAAGAAGAGGAAAGCATCATTTACTAAGTTATTTCAGAGTAGAAACTAAAATATTTAACAAATATTCCTCACACACTACTGCATAAGCCTTAAAAGGCATTATCATAGAAATTTCTTAACTTATCTTCATGTAGATAAGAGCTAATGCCAGCAAAGCTACATCAGAAAATAATAATATAATAAATTTAGTTGACTTGATGGCCAACCAGTTGAATCAGTTTAGCTGTGATTGCCCACCTAAAGGATTCATGCTTTGGGTCAGTTTTTAAAACACTGGTGTTCACTGTAGTCTAGCAAGATTGATCCATTGAATGTTATTATTTGAGTATCTAGCCACAATTGACGATGCAAGGAAAACGAACATGGTCCTAGTGAAGGATTTTCAAGGGTTACTCTAGCATTTTGGGTTGTTTCATATTTTGGGGAGCTCCCTTGCTATCATCCTTTAGTAGCAATACACTAATTCCACATATTACACCAAAAAAAAAAAAAGAGGAGGGAGTGGATCCTCAGATCTTCCAACCAGGAAGTGATATGCAAGACAATTTAAGAAGTGATCTTCAAAAAAGTAACATGACAAGCACTAGAAACCCAATTTTCATTGCTCAGAGTTTTATTACAATAATCCTTGCTTACATGACAGAGTTCAGTATCTCATTTGTATTAATTGTTTTTGGAGAAAAAAAAAGTTTCTTTGTCTACAATAGGATTACACTGATTAAAAAAAAAAAAAAAAATTTTACAACTTCATGTCCATGCCTGTTGGGAAAAGTGCCCACAATGCATAGTCCAAAATTGTCAAAAATAGATTCAGCATACTTTTACAAACTCAGAGATTCAACCAAATATCTACACATTATCTCTGATGAAAACAACACCATTGAGAAATAATTTATTGTAACAATCACACCAGGAGTGGTGAGTCAGAATAAATGAATGAGTACTTTTGTTTACATAGTTGACACTATCAAATGAATGGAAAAGAATCAAAGGACAACAGAAGGAGGTCGTAAAAGAATAAGAGCCATACCACTGTTCCATACAGAGGAATCTTGTGAGGCAATTGTTCGGCACATTGGAGAAGGAACTGTCAGGATAAAGAAAAAGTAAATAAATGCTTTGGCAATTATCAGCAGCAGAATCATTGCACGAAGGGGAGGGGGAGAAGGGGATGGGAATAGACTACAAATCACCATATGTTAATATGAGCTAATAGATTGACCTGCATACAGACAAAACAAATCTCCACCTTTTGGCTTGAATTCAAGCACCGAAAAAAAAAATCTATTCTTCTTGAAGGGTTTCTAAATATAGGTATCAACAGAAATCAAAATAACAATCAGTATAAACCTCAAGCACAGAACTATATAAATTATCCTTAAAAAGAAATCCTCCAACTCATTGACTCACAGGTTACCTCTATCATTTAAGTATTTTTTTTTTTATTAAAAACAATCACAGAGTTCTGAATGAGGTTACTCAAAGGATATAATTATTTAACTCGGTAAGCATGGCAGTGGTTTTCCTCCATGCTTTTTGTAAACATTCTATCCAGATTTTCTTGATGCCTGATACTAATTGCGTTAAATGCGGTGCTTTTTTTATGAGTTCTTATTGCAATGTCTTCTACTTATCCATATAAGAAAATGGAGCAAGAATAAAAACACAAACAATTAAAAAATAATACTTAGATCTTTAAGTGCTCTTATGCAACGCCTCCCCTCTCAGAGCAACCAACAAAAGAATAAATAACCGTTTCCTTTTCAGAAGAGCTTCAACATTTCATCAAACTCTAAAACTAATGTTCCAAAATAGCAGCTCATATCTAGTAAACAACTAAAATAATGAAATGTAAACGGAAAACACTACCTTGATTGTAATTAATGCTCCTATAAGTAATTTTATTTTTCCACCATTTCCTTTTAGGTTTCTGGAAAAATATAATAAATTCCAAATGCACAAATCCAAAAGCTCCACTTTAAAACCTAATAAAATTACCTCAGAATTTCCCATTAACTACTTAAAATTTCTTCTCATTTTCAACCATTCCATAATTTAAATGTGCACTAACAAAAATAAAATGTAAAGGAAACTAAAGCAAATGAGCTTGAAATTACAGGCAAAATATCATTAGAAGAATGTTCCAGTTCTCTCCGCAAAGCTCCATAGCAAGTTTCCTGTAATTCGAAAACAAAACCACAAAAAATTATAAAAGGTACTGTGATAAAAAAATAAAAATGCACTGTAAACTAGGGTTTTATATACGGGGGAAGAAATTAGAGAGATATGTACGGACAATGTGGTCTTTGAATTCGGAAGAGGAACTGTACTCGGAGCATTTGTCGCCGATTCGAAGAAGAAGGCTTTTCCAGCTGCTCATAATTTTTTCCTCTTTGTGTTTTTTTCTAGGGAAACAAACAGGTTCGATTGGAGAGAGAAATTAAACGAAGCGCTACTTTTGTGGTCGTAAGACTAAAGAGCAGAGAAAGAGAGGAAGAGAGGGATTTTGCAGGGGTTTTTTGATTTCCTACAGCCTTTCAACCCTAAACAGGGACTCTGCAGGCCCAAAATATTCTTCTTGGCCCTTAACGTTGGACTTAAGTTATCAGTTTAGGCCTATGAAAAGGCCTAATTATTTTAAAATAATTTTGTAACTATTACAATAAATGTTCTATTTGGCCAAAAAAACTATTAAATTATATTTTTTTGAACAAATATAGTGACAAGAAAAAGATAAGATTTAATTGACTTGGAGTTTATGTGAAAATTTGATATTTTGAACTTAAGAATAATATAATAATAATTACTAATTAAAAATAATATCCAAAAACATGTGATGATTGTAACTTTAGATAAAAAATTTGATAATTATATCATTGTGATGAATTATAATTTTATAATACAAATAAATCATAGAGTTTTTATATTAACTTGTGGTTTATTTATAGTTATTAGTGAAAATTATTGTTGTAGCATTATCACGATACGACTATATAACTTAACAAAAAAGTTAATCACCAACAATTCTTTAATAAGATTTCTCAACCAGATAGTCTGCGGAGCTACTTTATAACAAGTTATAGATTTTGCTTATATAATGGATGAAGTCATAAGTGTGACGCTTTACACTTTTTCAAGATATTGTGCCACTTGCTACAACAAAAATGTATCCAAATGTGAACTTCTTTATCATTTGAATAGCTTGCAAAGTCAAAACCTTTATAATCTATTAGCTTAAGATCTACATCCTTTTAGTAAATTAGCATACAATCCTTAGTTCTATTTAAATATCTCATCACTTTCTTTAAGCTTTTCAATGATCTGAAAATGAAAGTAAATATCTTTCAAAAAAACTTATTTCAAAAATAATGTCAGCTTGCACAAACTTGAGCATACAATAAGCTTTATACTAACATATGGTATTGCTTTCATAAATTCTCTCTCAACATCAACTTTAGGATATTGTGTTATGTTCAATTTATTATCTTTAACAATTGGCATATCTCTACCTTTACAATCAAATATAAAAAATCTATTCAACACTTGATCAATGTATATACTTTAAAAGAGCCCCAACAAGTGACGAGAGTTATATCTATGGATTTCAATTCCTAAGATATAGGGTTCTTTCTCAAGATCTTTCATGTTAAATTTCAAAGACAGTATCTTCTTAATAGCTTGTTGCATGCCCAAATAACTACTAGCAAAAAAATAAACAATATATCATCAACATATAAAATAAAATAGATAAACCTGCTCCTACTAAGCTTGAGATATATGCATTTGTTTACCTTATTCTCAACAAAACCAAAAGAGATTATCACTTCATCAAACTTAAGATACCATTGGCAAGAAGCTTATTTGAGCACATAAATAGACATTTTTTACTCTATAGACAAGATGATCTTTACCATCTTTTTTAAATCTTTCACATTGTAAAATACAGACATTTTTAATAAAATTCTCATTTAATAGATAATTTAACATCAATTTGTTATCGTTTTAAATCATAATGAGCTATTAATGCCATAAACTCTAAACGTATACTCAAAAGATATAAGAGAAAAGGTTTCAAAAAATCAAACTTCTTTCTATGTAAAACCTTTGCAACTAGGTTGGTTTTAAACCTTTTAATTTTCTTTTGAGAATCTTTCTTTGAATTGTACACGCATTTAAACCAATAGATTTGCAAACTTCAAGTAGTACAGCAAGTTTCCACATATGATTATGTGACATAGATTGTATCTTATCTCTCATAGTATCCCACCACAAATCTCACTAATGACTAAAAATGACTTTTGGAAAAGTTACTAGATCAATTACATGACCAATAACATAATCACTTTTTCAAAAGTAGAATTCATAAATGTTTGAGAAGAGTGTAAGCTTACTTACCTTTGTGGATTTTCTTTGTGGCACCTATCTATCACGACTTAATCTTGAGCCATGACTAGCGCATGGACCCAATAGACGTAGTGTATGAGGCCCAAGTAAGCCTTTTACTATATATCTGTGCTCATCGTATAATTTCCACACACTATTCTTTTCTTGGATGCAAATTCAATATAACTGTCTATAATTTCTTTAAACATATTGCAACATAAGCTTATACATCATTCTCAAAATATCATTTAACCTTGCAATCTCATGGCTATATTGCCAAACCAACTAGACATCTAGTATGTTAGCCTTGAGGTACATCATGTTTGGATTAGACAAAAATTATATGTTTTCTTATATTTAATGTCAAGCATTTGAAATTGCCTCAAATACATATTCAACCCTTATAGTTATATATTTGTTTGGAAAACCATGCATCACTAGAAACATCTTATAAGCTTTCAAACAATGCATATTTAGCTAAAAGTATAAAAGTAAACATGTAGTAAATGTTATTTGAATATAGGTACAAGGCAAGGAGGAAATAGTTGGAGAGAAGCATCAAAAAGCTAAGGAAACCTCAAGATATAAGTCAAGAATTCATCTTAAAGAAGCTCAAGTTGATTTGAAGGCTGAAAGAGTGCAAAACTTGAAAATTGCACAGCCATAGTCAACTATAGAAGAAGCACAATCGACCTTGACAAGTCAAAGGGCAAGAAAAGTTAAGATTACACATCTATAGTCGACTATAAAAAAAGTATTGTTGACTTTGGTAAGTCGAAGGTTAGAAAAAGTCAAGATTACACAATTATAGTCAATGATAGAGGAAGCATAGTCGGCTATAGCAAGCCAAATTTGCAAAATACAAGTTTTCTAGAAATAGATAAACTAGAATAAGGTTATACTTGACTATGGAATCCTTAATTGAAAAATTTGAAAAATATAGTTGACCTTAAGAGTGTTGTAGTCGACCTTCAAGCTTCAGCAATGATTAGATTTGATTCAAACATATGTCTAATGACTCCAAATATTGCCTTAGCCATAAATAGACGTATTTAAGCTATTTTGAAGTATGAGAAGACCTGACCCAAAGCTTCAAACCCTAGAGAGATTACCCAAAAACTCATATTCATTCTTTGAAATCTTTTTAGTCTTTCACCTAGTTTTTAAAGTTGAATCCTTATTTCATTCAAGTTGAAATTTTTTTTTTTCACTAGAAATAAGCTCAAAGTCTTAACACCCAGCTTTTGAGAGGCATTTTTTTTACTGAAATTTGTATTTTACTGTAAAGGTTCTAGCTTTGTTGGCTCCATAAATTTTTGATGATAATAAAATATTCTCACTCATTTATGTCTAACTTTACTACTTGAATGCGTTGGATGAAAATATGTGTCAATAACAAATTAATCATTGGAAAGCAAATATTAAAACTCATTAGAATAAAGAGTTCCAAATGAACCATAATTGTATATGCTTTTGCTTGCATGCACAAACATGTACAAAAATTGGAGATAATTAACAAAGCAGAGGTCTCTGGTTTTTTTGGTTCAATACTCTAGGTGCAAATTACAGGATGAAGGTTGGATTAATTCTGTCTTAGGTATAGCCACCAAAAAGTTTCATTATATTAGACATATTGGCACCTTAAGTATTTAAATGGATTAATGTTCAATTCTAAATGCTGCAAATATAACATAATGCAACCCAAACTCAAAAGCAGTTGACTCGCTGGTATTGCATCATATTTGGATACATATTAAGTTTTGTGCTGCAACAAAACATTAATACTATTGTGGTTGTGGTACAAACACAATTTAAGACTACAAACAAGTACAGTTTTTCTAACCACATCTTTCTGGCAGTTACTGACCATCATGCCAGCTACTTCTATATCAACCGAGAACCTACGATATCAAACCCTGTGTGTTTCACTTCTAGGAATTCTTTTTAACTGATTGAAATGAGCACATAGGACAATGCTATTCAGTTTACTCAATTATATGATCTCAACCTCTTTTCTATTTGTCACTGGTGAATGCAGGAAACATTTGCTTTAATGCTAGCAGAAGCAGGGTTTAAGAAGGTTGAGTTTGAAAATTTACTTGGAGGAGTTGCCGCAATTCATTCTGGGTTAAAATTATGAAGATTTTCTTTCACGATTTTTCTGTGTCTGTCTCTTGCCTTTTCTCTTTAGGCTTCATAACTGAATAAGAGTGCTTTGGTATAACAGTTGGTACTAGATTTGCGAAATGTTCTCCTTCTGGGAATTGTAGCTATGGATTTTATCCTACTTGTATTGGAATTTCACTTGGATGGGGTGGGAACCGTTTTGCTAGATGTTAGTATTAGCAATGGATTGACTAAGCAGACGAATAAGAGAATATGTAAAATTTAGTTGATGTTACATTTCTAACTGATGGCCAATATGAAATACTAACTGAAAACCTCTTTTGAGATGACTTGTGGTCCATAAGCAGTGAGATAAATGAAGATGGCAGACTTTGCCCACAACCATGCAGACACAGCCCAGCAAGTATCAAGCAGGAGAACATGAGCTCAAATGCTGGCTTCAATAGCAACCTCAAAAAACCTTTTCTCAATATTTTCCACTGCAAAAGAAAACTGCCGTTAAGTTTGCAGGGTAATGAAAGCTTGTGGCTGATGCAGGGTGGTGACCACTTCTCATAGTTTATTTTGTTTTTTTCTTTGGTACATTTTAGCTGTTCATGCATGTGGAGGGTCCAAATAGAGGGAGATGTGCATGTGGTCGGACACATGTTGCTGGGCCTCTCATGGCTCCTTTGTTTGCAGCAGCACATGGATTGAATAAGACGATGAGTGAGGTCTTGGGAACCTCATTTACCTTGTTAACTCTATTGACTATTTTACCCTTCGGTCGGCTTACTGGCTACCAAGTTCAGGGTCGGATTGCTTATTTTAAAATTTTCCAATAATTTTTTTTCTAACAATTGAAAATTTTAAACCATCTTCACTCCCCTCTTTAAATCTTGTTAAACCTAAAATTAGATACGTTGTGATGTAGCAAGTTAAAGTGAAAATAAAAGTTAGCATTTGACGGAGCTTTTAAAATTGATAACTAAATTTTAAACAGAGAAACTTACATTCAAAATTTTAAAAAAAATATCATATCATTCGATAATTAAAAAAAAATAATTGTCTAAAAACTGAATCTAAGAGTGTTATTTTTAATAGTTGAATCTTCCTTAACTTAAACTTGGAGCACAAGTAAATTAAATTAAAATAAAAAAAATAATACCTTAGGCTTCTTGGGAGTACAAGAAAAGTAAATTTTTAAACTCATATTTACTTATCGTCCAAGTAAAATAAAATAAAAGAAAAACTCTAAGTATTAAATATTAAATTAAAAAAATATTAACTATTAAACTTACTTATTAGACTATTAGAGTATCTACATCACATTGGTACTTGGTGAGTTTGAAATCTGAAATTTCGATATTTATTAATGTTTTTATGAATGTGATTCATTCCATTGAATCAAATCTTTATAATATTATAAAGAGTATCTTATTGTTAGGTTAGAGACTCACAATGACATACTAATTTTGAGACTAATAAAATTACTTTTCAAAAAAAAAATCTTAATAATCAAATATTCATTCAACATGTTTTCAAATGTTTTAGCATTCACAAATATAATGCACAAGAGATTAAATATTACCATACTTAGTTCTCAATAAAATAATAATAGAGTAATAATCATACTTTACTACCATATATCTATTCTCAAGAATAGGATTTGAGTTAAAATAAATGAACATACAATGAATAATCCTATACATTAGCATAACCTCAACAAGATAAATATTAGAACTGAAAATCTAGAACTAGTAATGGAAAGGAGATAATGCCATCACCTATTCAATTCAATCAGTTGAAGAGTGCTTGGTATTTAGGCTGCCTGTCACTTTTGAGAGACAAAAGCTGAATCATGCATATCTAGGGACAGAGGGTAGTCCAGTCATTTTGCTCTCGTAGAAAAGCCTTTTTCCATTTCCGACCTAACTACCAAACTGCACACTTTTCATTTGGAAGTTGAAACTGCTGATCCATGTGTGCACATATTTGTCGATCAATTTATTCAGCCAACTGGATAGATGGCAACTGCCAACTAGCAACAAGCAGGCAGCAACAGCCTATAAGTATCCCCCACCTTTCCCACTTAACTAATCACCAACTTTGCTCAGTAGCTGTTTTGCTTCCTTCTTTTCTCCAATTCAAATGGCTAAAATACTTAGCATTGTCATGTTATGCTTTCTCCTCATGCTTGTTTTACTAGGAGAAATCCAGGTAAGCTACAATTTCTGACCTTTTTTCTTTATAAAGTTTTTATCAACTTATCGATTTTTTTTGGAGCAAGCTAGTGAATATCAAGAGGGTTAATGGGTATTACTTCATTTCTGTTTAAATAGATGGTACAGTAAAATGTAGGCAAGTCAAATGCTACATCAATTGCAAGCAATTTCATGGGTACTAAGAAAGTTGATGCGATTAATCAGAAACATATTCAATGTTTTCTATATTATGCTTTCATTTTAAGCTTATGGGTTTGGTTTTGATTTCATTAGTTGGTTATTTTTCTTCCCTAGGCTTCTAGCCCTGCTTCTCGAAAACAACGGCAAGGCAACCATGCAAACGGAATGGTACTGATGGAACCATACCTGGATTTTTTTTGCTTCAAATAATTTTTTTTTCCCCACAAACTTTTTTAACTCTTTTTGAAATGTAAATTGCAGTATGGTGCCACCCAGGGCAGCCTTCGTCCTCAAGGTGAGTTAAAAGAGTTGTATATTATTTTAATCCTTCTTCCAAGAATCAAATTTGTAGAAGAGCAAATAACAAAAGCAGGGTTCAAGGTTTTTGGTTTTTTTCTTTCCCCTGAATGTTTTCAAAAATGGACTTTTCTTGTATTCTTGGAGTTCCAAGATTCAAACTTGAGCCTTATAACTTAGAATTCTCAAAATCTAATCATTGGGGTGTTGTTATGTCGTGATTCAGGTTTAGAAATGCACTAATTCACATTCAATGTTGAAATATGCAGAATGTAGTCCGAGATGCACTGCCAGATGCTCTGCTACGGCATACAAGAAGCCATGCCTGTTCTTCTGTCAAAAGTGTTGTGCCAAATGCCTGTGTGTGCCTCCTGGCACATATGGAAACAAACAATATTGCCCATGCTACAACAACTGGAAGACCAAGAGAGGAGGGCCCAAATGCCCTTAGATTATTATTCCCATTGTTTCACTGCCCAACTATCTATCTTAATTTTATCTTGCTCTGTAATCAAAGTCCCTCATGGTTCTTACCATTCATTTGGCCAATGATGTTCAGAAGAAGAAGAAGAAGAAGAAAACAAAGGCCAATGATGATACATGTGGTAGTATTTCCTTTTAAAGGAAGTTTGAGCTTTGAATTTAAATTTTGGTAATTTGGGTTACGGTAGGTACAAGATGGGCTAAGTGTTTCATTTGTGTAACTCAACTAATGAATATGAATTACTAAACAAAAATTCTCTATCAATCTTATACTAAATACTTTTTCCAGTGAAATTTGGATTATCTTTATTTATTTTCTTCAAAGTAAGGCCAAAATAGCATATAAAATGCGAAGAGTGAAAATTGCAATAACCATTCCACCAACCAAAAGACGAATTACTATTCCTGCCATATTTGATATTCCCACCTCAATTATCCTCAATAGCCTAACACAAAATGGAAAAAGAAAAAGAGAATTTTCAAAAATACCAAAAGAGAAAAATATTAAATTTATTACGTAATTAATGCTACTTTTTTTATTTTATAATTAGATAAACAATTAAGAAATAATAGATTTGATTGTGAAGTTCTTATAACTCATATCCCATGGAAAGTGGACCCAGTAATAATCTTAATTATCCTGAATATTAACAAAAGCACACACAGTAAAACCTTTATAAATTAATATCATTATGAAAATTTGTTAATTGATCGAGATATTATTTCATTAGTAAATTAATAATTTATTAATTTATACATTAATCAAGAAAAGGATTTTTTGTTTTTTTTTCAAAATATTGAAGTTAATATATTGTGATTATACGAATATTACCTAATTACTAATTATGAATTAGCATTATTCTATATATTTGTTTAACCACAACAAATTTATGAATGTACTTAGTCTTATTTAATAGAAGTCATAAATCTATCCATTTTTACAATAAACTAAAATTACATTCAATGTGTACTTAATTAATATACTCATGAACATTAAGTCTAGCAAATACATCTATAAAAAAAACATACATGATCACAAATGGTAAACCTAAATACAATGGCTTGTCATTTCAAAAGTGTAAAAATATCAACAACGACAGATGAAATACGTAAAGCACTATGTGAATATAACATAGAAAATCTAAATTACACCTAAAACCAATTGCAACAATAGGTGTAAAAAAAGTTTAATTAGCAAGTGAGCCAAGCAACAATATCAAATATGATCAAGAGGTCACTAAAGTATTTATCAATCAATATTAATTTTCTCTTGCAATACAAGAGCACTACACCAAAGCTTCTTAATGCAAAAGTTAGAGATAAAGTTTAGAAGGACATCAATTTTAAAAAATAACAAGTAACATTAAAATTATATTTTACAAAAACTTCCTACTTAAGTATATATATAATTTTTTTATATAATGAGATTATTAATTTCTATATCAAGTGGGACCTTTGTGATTTTTTTTAAATGTATTATTTTATAAATTTAACAAATTATTACTTAATCAAAATTATTAATTTATCGAAATTTTATTGTAGTTAAGGATTGAAATGAAGGTGCAATTATAGACAAGGGAAGTTGATACTAAGACAGGGATTTTTAACTTATTCCAAGATCTTACATAACCTTCGGGACTGATAATACTATAGCTAGATACCTACAAGAAAAAGTCTTGATTAGCAATTCAATTTGAAACCCAAACGAGGTTCTCTTGTGAAGAAATGACAAATGGGGACTGTTCCTGGCTTAACTTTAAGAACTCGAAAGGCCATGTGCTCTGGTTCCAAACTGATGTATCTTTATGGCAAACGGCCAATGCCTTAACTTTTGTTGCATCTTTGCCTGTCAATGGAACTTTGTACACTGCTGTTTTATCAAGCGACTAACATAGAAACACTACATATGGATATCTCATCTTGTGGCAAACTCTCTCTTTTTCTCCCATTATTTGTAACCCCTTATTAGCAATATAAACTCTTGGTCTTCTGTTTCTTTAATTTCCACCTCACCTGACAATGGTTTAATGTTTTTCCCAAACTTTGAAACACTGAAATCAACAAAGGACTCTAACGATGTAGCACAGTTCTTGTCTTCTCCCTCAATTGCCGGTCTCTCACAATTAGCAACCGTTCGTTTCATTACCTTAGCTTCCACTGATTCGGGTTTCAGCGAGAAGAGCTTCAGGATTCCTGGAAACCTGACACTTGAGAAGGGCATTGACTCTACAATTGGACGAGACAAGAGTCTAGGCCCTGTTACTTGTCTAATTTTGAAAGTCGACAATTCGGTCATTGATATATAGAATAATTCATCTATAATTAGCTCATCATAAATATTCCAATTAGTTATAATTCTTAGACAAGCCTCAATCTAATATGTTTGCATTGAAATATAAGAAGCGATAAGATTTTAAAAATGGAGGACAAGAAAGGAATTGAAATTCAAAAGAAAATAACCTGCTGGAAGCAGTAGAAGATCTTTCAAGGCAGTTGGCATTGCAGTGTGAGGGTACACAGAGTTCCAGTGAACCTCCACCGGCAGAGCAGCATGGCTTCCTCCAAATGCGAGCTGCCATAGGGTTGAGGAATGAATTTCCATTAATTCAAAAAATTAGTAAAACAAAAGCAAAAACCACACAAAAACCAAGAGCTTGCTAGAACTGTTAGTTTTATCTATTTATTTATTTGAGGACTTAACACTTACATTGAGAAAAATGAGGAGGAGAAAGACATTAAGCTCCATCCGAGCTAATTAACTTGATGCAATTAAATCTAAGCAGAGAATGTAATAAAGACTTTATAAAGCCAGACAGATTCAGGATGAAATCAGAGTTTCTGGCTAATAACTAATGCCATGAAATTGCCAAAGTGGAATATGCTAATGATTTGGAATGATCGTATGCCTCCAAAACAAGGCTTGCTTGGAGGAGTAAAATACGTTATAGTAAATCGTTTTTCATTTTTACATGACTTTTATTTTTTATTCAATTATTGGATTTTCTCTCTATAAATTTTAGAAGAATTGTAAAGGTTGGGGAAATTTCTTGTATTAAGAGCTTATTTAGTTTAACTTTTTTTAGCTTAAAAGCTCTTATGAAAAATAATAATTTTTAAAATTAAATTAAAGTTGTTTAGCAAAATAAATTGTATAAGCTTTAATTTTAGTTAAATTATTACAAAGGTATTCATACTATTTACAATTATCTAATAAATTAAAGTGAAACAAGTCTATTTTAAGTTTATATATGATTTTATATATTAAAATAAAAAAAATTCATAAAGAAACGGAATAATTTTCAAACTTATATATTAATAATAGTATTAGATATTTTGGTGAAGAAAAGAGAAAATCTTTAAATAGCAGCTGAGTGCAATTTTAAATTTTGGGTCTCATTTCTCTTAATTTTTATAAAAATAAAAAAATCTTATATTCTACTATTCTGTTTTTGAGTGTTCTGGTTTTTTTAGTTGTCTTTGTAAAAAGAAATAAGAGGTAAAGGAGAAGACGATCATGATTTTGTGTTGGATAAAAGTGATTTGTAGAGGGAGAGAAATTGATTGAGAGAGAAGGATATTTTTTCAAAAGCTAGCGTGTTTTTTAAAAAAAGAGAAGAGAAGGCTCCTCTATAGAGCTTTTTTTAAGCTTTGTTTTGTAAAATTTTATTCTTAAAAAAAGTTATTTTTTTTTAAAAAAATTTCAAAAATTTTATTTAATTTGATTTTTACTTTTAAAAAATAAATAAAATAAAAAAAAAATCAAGTCAAATAGACACTTAGAATAGCCAAAGGCCAAATTATATACAGCTTTAGTTATGTGGTGGCATAAAATGTAATTAACTTTAACTACAGAGACAAAAAAGTAAAAACCTCTCTTCAAGTTAGGCAAAATCTGTTGGATAAAATGAAACATGTGATATGTCACGTGCTTGTGTAAAGACACTCTTGGCCTATCCTTTAGCAAAATTAGAACATCAAAGAGCTCTTTCGTCTACGTTCTTCTGACTTTTGGGTTTTTCTAAGCATATGATCTTGCTAAAGCCCAAATTCTATCACACTTTCTTCATCATTTTCCACTTCATTCTGTCAATTGTGTAAATGTTAAGAACATGCATCTTGCTCAATAAATTATAAAATTGCCTTGGTTAAATTGCCTTTATAAAGATATTTGCAATTTGAATTTGTGTAGAAATATATTTTGGGATTATAACCCCTTACTGAACCTTGTCTTGGATAAAATGACAGTCTAACTCTATATGCTTGATTTGTTCATGAAAGATAAGATTTTTACATATATGCACGACAGACTAACTATTAGAATGGAGCTCCACAGTTTTGGTACTTTTCATACCAAAATCCTTGAACAAAAATAATAGCCAAATAATTTCATAGCAACCATTGGTCATGGTCCCATACTCAGCTTCAGCTAAACTCCTTGCTAAAACATTTTTGCATTTTATATTTTCAACTAATCAAAGAATGACCAATGGATACACAAAAAGCAGAAACTGGCCTTCTTGTAATTGCACAACTAGCCCATCACTATCTACATATGCCTTTAAACAATGTTTTGAATCTGAACTCAATAAATTTCTTTGTCTAAGAGAATTTTTCAAATCCTTTAGTACTCTGAAGGCAGCGGACAAATGTGTTTGACTGAGCTTTTCCATATATTGTGACAAAACATGTGTGGCATATGCTATATCTTGTCTTGTGAAGGTCAAATATAGCAACTTTCCCATTAACTGTCTAAAGGCTTGTTTTAGGCCATATAGAGATTTATGAAGCCTACAAACAGGTGTATAACCAGTAGGATACTCCCTCTATTGTTGATAGCTTATGGTAAATCTATGTAGACAACTTTATCTAGATCACCATTTAAGAAATCATTATTAATATCCAATTGAGATAAAAACCAACACTGCACAATAGCTAAAGCAAAGAAGACTCTCACTATAGTTTGCTTAGGTATAAGACTAAATGTTTCCTGGTAATCAAACAATTCTTTTTGGCTATATCCCTTAGCCATTAACCTTGCTTTGAATCTATCAATACTACCATCAACACGCATATTTACCTTGTAAACCCATTTACATCTAAATGAGTGAGCACCGGGGGTTAAGTTAACTATGCTCTAAGTGCCATTGCTTTCTAAAGCATCTAACTCAGCCTTCATAGTGTCTCTCTAGTGATGATGATGTACAGCTTGATGATAATGTTGAAGTTCTTATGTATGAGAAAGAGAAACAGTAAAGGATTTGTGCTATGCTGACTATT